GTACAGGTAGAAGCACCCAATGATAAATGTAAACATGTTGTATACCTAAAATGTACCAATAAAAGAATTTAAGCAAAAAAAAAAAAAAGTATGTCCCCTGTCCTACAGGAATTGCAGTCTCTTAACAAGAATGGTACAGACCTGGACATGATGGTCCATGCCTGTAATTCCATCTACTCAGGAGGCTAAGACAGGCAGATCATAAGTTTCAGGCCAGCCTGGGCAACTTAGTAAGACTCTGTCCCAAAACAGAATAAAATGAATAAAAAGGGCTGGGGCTGTAGCTCAGTGTAGAGTGCTTACCTGGTGTGCATGAAGCCCTGTGTTCAATCTCTAGTGCCACAAAAGAGGGGAAGGATCCAAACCTGTGGTTCTGATCAATTGCTGAGTGTGTTGGGATTGGAGGATGCAGAATTGGTGCTCTAAAAACACAGAGGAAGGGGGAGAGAGGAGAAATGGGGAAGGGGGAGTGATCAAATTATGTTGTGAATATGCCAAAACAAAACTGTATAACTAATATGCACTAAAAACAAAAAACAGAGAGAAAGAGCACTTCATATGCATGAAGGGTAGAGGGTATCAAGGAAGGCTACCTTCATGAGGTGCCTCCTAACCTGAACTTTGAAAAAAGGATAGGAGTTAAGCAGCAGAGGTATACCAGGAATGACATGCTCCACGGAAAAAAGGGCTATATTTGCTATCCTAGGAGAGCAGAATATTTCAGAATTACAAGTGCTTCCTCCTGGGTGGTCTGTGGAGTTGCAAGGGGGAGAGGAGTGGTAATAAACAGAATGAAAAAGTAAGCAGAAGGCAACCCAAGAGAGCCTAGCATGTGTAATAGCAGCAAAGAATTGGGTTATGGGGCAGAAAAGGAATTTTCCAGGCTCTTTAAAAAAAAAAAAAAAAGGAAATATATAAAGTGGTACCTCCTGAAGAGACTTGTATGCCTTACACAGGAGTTGGGACATTAAATTTAAAATAATGGGGGAACTTCTGAGAAAGTCAAAGGAGTAACATTTGATTTTCTATATCCTTTATCTTTCTGAACAGAGACAGGCTTGTGAAATAGATATTGCTGTTTTCCTCATTTTTGTGGATGAGAACCCCAAAGCTCAGGAAAGTAAAATTCTTTTCCATATTCCCACAGACAATAGGCACAGAAGCAGAACCCCTACCAGGCCTTTGAACTAAGTTTAGTGATCTTTACACAGTGTCCTGATCTCCCAAACTTGAACCAGAGAACTCCTCTCATGTCTGTACTGCTCTGGGACTGCTTTCTCTACCAAGGATCCTTTTCACCACAAACACACTCATGTTGACTCCTCCATCTTCCTTCCTTCCAGGCTTTTGCCGCAGATGATTCCATTGAGAATACGTCTCTGCAACAAGCTTTCATCTTCACCCAGTTATTCTTCATACTGCACAATCCTGCTCCCTGGATATCCACTGTCCTACCCTAGTCTACATATTGAAGGAGGACATCAGGGACATGTTATACATCAGCTTTAACAGAATGTTTCTCGGAAGGTCTTGGTTCTGGGTCTTTTTGCCCCTGATCTATTCCATCAGTCCTCACAGGAGGAGCTGCCCTCTGCAGGTGGTGTTGTTCCAGAGTCAAAAATTCCCTCAGGCCAAGCTGGTGTGTGGCTCAGTGGTACAGTGTTAGCCTGGGCTCAATTCCCCAGTACACACACAAAAAATTTAAAAATTCCCTCAGGCCATTGCTTCTAGCTAGACTTGCCCAGTGGAAGACCTGGTGGAAAATTAGATGGAAAGAAAAAAAGGGAGGAGAATGGAGGGCCATTTTGTCCCCTCCTCTCCTCAGGAAATGTCTAGTGTTCCAGTTTCTATTGGTGGCTCTGGCTCCTGGACTACATAATCTGCCTCCTTCCTTTGTCCCTTCACCCTATTGCTGATAGTGTCATGTTGCCATTGATAATATCTGAGTTGCCTCTAGCCACTGTACAGGTTCCAATCCTTCCAACCACTGGAGTAGGCTTTGTAAGGACATTGCAAAGATTGTAGATCTTCTTAGGGTGAGAGGGGAGGCCATCTGAGGGAGGCATTTAAGCAGGGGCCTGATCTGCTTTACCAGGATTTCTCTGGCTGTGCTTTTGAACATATAGTAGACATGGGAGGCAAGAGGGCAATCAGGGAGAAGTTACGGCTCAGACCAAATGAAGTAAAACCCAGACCATAATGAAATCCCATGGAACTCACAGTTGTGCCGACCACATAATTCAAGGCTTTCATATTTTGCCAATTTGTTCTGTAATTGGATAGCATAAATAATTCCCCTCTGAACCTCTAGTGCCTACCTAGCACATTGCCTGAAAGAACAGATATTTTTTAAAGGAAGGTGGGTGATAGATCTTGTATTTAATGAATGAATGAATGAATAAATAAATAAATAAATAAATAAATAAAACCAACAACAAAAAGAGCGTGAGCTGTCTTTCGGGATTGTCTGGAAACTCCTCAAGCTTTGAGACATTATCTAGCACTTTCCTACATCTCCCATGGGGCACAAAGTAAGTGTTCCACTTTCGTGTTTGTTGAAAGGATGACAGCCACTTTGTGCCAAGTGCCAGAGCATGTAGCCATTATCACTACCCTATCCGCTGCCCAGAGAGATGTCCCTGGAGCCCAGTTTCTCTGGCCTTCCTAGAGAGCAGGCCTCCCAGAACAATTACTCTGAGACTCCAGTGCTGCAGGAGGAGTCTCCTTGGAAATGACCGGGCTGCCCCGTCCTCCCAACTGTGGCAGGGACTTCCTGTTTGGGGTGGAAAGGAACCAGACACTTTCCTGTTAGCAGGTCTTTTAAGCAAAGCAGCAGATGCTAAGCAGGTCCTGGCTCAGGCTTTGAGGCCAGATGCCTGGCGGGTAGACAGTCTTTATGCGGAAGGGAAGTAAGGCATAGTGCCAGATTGGCTGAGCTTTTATTGTGTTCCTTCCAAGTCTCCTGGGTCCTGGGGTGAGTAAAAACAAACCAGAAGAGTCCTATACATTGGTAAACCAGGGTTTGGGGAGGTGGGGCTGCTCTGAGCCACAGTGTTGCCTAGTAAGACAGTGCTTCTGCAGTTGTTCTTGGGCAGGGTCAAGTATTTTGTCTGGATGTAAATGTGTTCAAGTGTAAAACTGTGCACAAAATATACAAGTGTATATTCATGTCTATGCTCCTGAAATCCATTCAGCACATTACAAGATTTAAGTTCCTATCATTCATTTTCCATAGCATGCCAGGGTAATATAAAATGATGATTCTCTGTCCCATTGTTTGTTTGTTTTTAATGAGGGGCTGGGGATTGAACCCAGCATCTTACATGAGTCAAGCAAGTGTTCTACCTCTAAGCTACACCTCCAACCGCTTCTCTGTCCCATTTTAAAACTGCAAAAACCCAAGAAAGGTTAGTTAACTTGCAAAGGTCATACAGATTGTGAAAAAGTCAAGATTTAAATACAGGTCTGTCCTCCAAATTTCTTGCTTTTTCTGTGAGAATTTGCATGTATTTTTTTCAGGTAGGCAGATGTGTTTGTGAACATGATCTAGCCTAAGGAGCCTGCATCTGCATGTGCTGCAGCGAGGAAACCTCTCCTCCACAGGCAGAGGTGCTTGCTAGAAGGTCAGGACTTTGGGAATTGCATCACAGTGAAAGATACAGAAGCAACAGTAATGAATCCACATTGTCCCAGCTGAATTCCTCACAACCCTGGGGAAAGCCTCTCTCCAGCTCTCAAACTCATCGCTTGTCCACATTATTCCTCTTATTCTTCCTATTCTTATGGTTTCTTGAGGGTAGCCCTCCCATAAATGCCTTTCTCCAGAGCCCAGAATTCCTCCTGATAAAATCTACTTTGTATTCTGCATATTTCCTGGGGAGGAGGAAAGAGCAGAGACAAAGCCAACTGTTCCTTTATTATTTAGAGAGAAACTGAGGCTACACGTTCTTTGTCCAGATCCACACATCCTGCCTAATTCAAGGGATCCTGCTGTGGCCTTCTGTCAGAGCAGAAGGAATGGGCCTGAATGGCAGCTGTCAGCCACTCTGGCAGGTAGTACGCCCAAGACCCAGCATGAGTTCCACAGGAGTCCTGTCCACCCTGGACAGCTGGGGAGCCCTTTGGAGCTGAGCCAAACCCCAGTGCTGAGAGAGGAAGGAAGGGGAGGCAGTTCTATTTGAACAGGAGGTGTCAGCCCAGCTGGGTCAGAAACCACTCAACCAACATGGGATGGGAGCAGAGGTGAGAACTAGATCACTGGAAAATTCAGAGTTTTCGTAGACACTGGCATTTGGTATTTAGTGAGTCAGTTGGTCTAGAGTAAGCACCAGAATCTGAAATTTGAGAGGAGGGATGGTGGGCATGGAACCAAGGGCCTCATGCATACCAGGCAAGCAGTCTACTCCCCAGCCCAAATGTTTCTAGGTGATTCACTTCAAGTGACCAAGAACCACATTTTGTGAATTTGACTTGAAGCAAGATAGTATAGTAGGTACGGGTTCAAGGTGTGGAGTTACGCCATGCAGGTTTGAATCCTGGCTCCATTACTAGATTATAACCTTGGACAAAAGATACGATCTCTGTGCCTCAGGTTCCTCATCTCTGAAATAAGGATGCTTATCATAGTTTTTTCATAAGGAAGTTACAAAGATTCAGTGACCTAAGTTATATAAACCATATACCACATACATGGCACATATTAATTTAGCAACAAGTATTAATCATTACTATTTGTTCTAACTCCATCCCCACCCCTACTCCCACCAGAGAAGAAATAATAATATTGGGTCCATAGAGGGACTTGTTGCTACAGTATTGTTTTGGATGGGCCATCTTTGGAATGTGCTTTGCAAATCCCTGCTCCAAAGCTATTCCCTTCCTTCACTATGGAGTGAATTCTTTCCAATAAATTGCCCTGCCTTGGTCATCATCTACCTTTCCTCCTCAGATCCCCTCAGATTCTTGAGCGTGCAGTAAGCTGTCCTCCTTTCCCACCCTGTCCAGTGTGACTTGGCTCTGGCTACATCCTAGAAAGTGAAAACATACAGCAAGTCAGTCGTAAAGCTTTGTAGGCATCTGGGTGTTGAAGAAGATCATGGAATTTGATGCTCTGGGATTAAGGAATAATCTTAGGAGGTGAAAAAGAACTAAACCCTCTTGCTACCCAGATACTAACTTGTAGGGGTTTTTTTTGTTTTGTTTTGGGTTTTTTTTAAATTTTGAGATAGGGTCTCGTTATGTAGTTCAGGCTGGCCTTGAACTCACTGTGTAGCCCAGGCTGGCCTCGAACTCAGGGTGATCCTCCTGCCTCAGCCTCCTGACTGCTGAGATTACAGGGGTGCACCACCATGCCAGCCCCAGATGCTAACTGTAGAAACATGCTCTCTTCCTGGGAAAGGAGGATATCCTATGCAAAGGTGTGGCTGAAGCCCAGAGTGAGTGTGTGGGTAGAAGAGGCTCTGCTCTGCCTAAATTCTTATAGGCACCTCCAAGTCCAGATGGCATCTCTAAGTACCACAGACAGAAATGGAGTGGGAAAAGGCCAGGATGTGATAAAATAATACAACCAACGAGACGAAAGGATGTCAATGCTCAAATCAGCAAGTGATTCTAGTTTGAGAGATTTGTGACCTGGATTCGCCTGGGATGCAAAGAAAGGTAAGATCAGCTGTCTGTGAGGCCAAGTCTATTTTCTCCAGGACATTCATCCCTCCAGAGAACCACAGCTGCCCTCTTCTCCTCTCTTCCCAGTCCAGCCAAAATGGAGAACCCCTGGCCTGTTCTAGAAGAAGGGATGGAGAAATTTTACCTGGAGAAAGACTTGGAAAGTGCTGACTGGACTCCAGGTCAGCCCACAATGTCCTTACCAATTGATGCTTCTCAGAGCTCCTTGCTTTCTGGAGCATCAAAATCCACCCTTTTGGTCAAAGCCACCATATGCCATTGTCATACCTGTAACTTATGCACACATACCCTAAAATAGACAGTGCTCAGTTGAACTGGAATTTCAGATTAGCGATAAATAGTTTTTTAGTGTAAGTGCGTCCCAAATATTGCATGGTCTCCATTTGGATTAAACAATTATTTGTTATCCATGTGATAGTCAAGTTTAATTGGGGGTCCTATATTTTTATTTGCTAACTCTAGCAACTCTTTCCCACTCCCCTTCAGCATTTCTCTCCCCAGGGCCACTGAAGAATTTTGCTTGAACCAGCTGCCAAGTCAATCTGTTCTATCTTTGGCTGAGAACTTTCCTTCTGGTCAGCTCATCTAGACTGGATGCTTGCTCTCTGAGAGCAAGGCTCAAGCTTTTCCACCATCTCCGAGGCAGCACCCTACAAGGGATGCTCATTATAGATGGAGGCAAGGGCACCCTAAGAGAGTGGCATAGCTGAGCAAAGAAATCTATCCTCAACTCTGTTCCCAGCTGATCTCTGGCAGACATGTCTGCACTGTGGAGCACTGCTTTTCCTCATTGGTCTGCCCAGATAAGCACCTATTTCTAATTGGTTCCCCCCCATGAGCGGTGCCTCTTTTTCATTGTTGGTTGGAAGGTGAGAAAGTGGGATTTTTTCCAGTTAAGTGTCTCCAAAGGAATGGCTGTTCATAAGATGTCTACTCCAAATTTTCTGATTCCTCCACCCAAGTGGCGTCTTTTTCTAACTAGCACAAAATTCTGTGCTACTGAGGCCTTGAGCCTCAGGGGCAGAATGCTGTATTCATTTTGGATAGTATTTTATAGATTCCAGATTATTTTTACACATACTCATTTAATCCTACAAAGACTTCCACAGGTCACTATCGTTGGTCCATCTGTAGTTCACAAATGAATAAACTCCGGCCAGAGATTTAGCTCAATGGTTCTTTTTTTTGGTACCGGGGATTGAATTCGGGTCCTTGCGCTTGCGCAGCAGGCGGCGAAACCACTGAGCTAAATCCCCGGTCCTAGTTCAATGGTTCTTGCACCTGCCTCCAAAGCACAAGGTCCTGCGTTTGATCCCCGGTATCAAAAAGAAAACCAAGCAAACAAACAAACAAACAAAAAAACCCAAAAAACAAAACACAAATGAGTAAACTGAGAGGAACCTGCTCTTAGTTACAAAGGCAGTTAATGAAGAGTTTATGTTTGCCTGGAAGGAGTTTAGCAAAGGCTTTCATGGTAATCTTTTCACGGCCTCCTTATACTGTATGGCTGTATAAGGCACTTTGCACTCATTTTCTTTTCTTCATGCAATTCTGGGAACTAAATTAATCTCTCTCACCTGCTCTCACTCTCTCACTCTCCGGTTTGTTTGTTTCTGGTACTGTGAATTGAACCCAGGACTCTTGCATGCAAGGCAAGTGCTCTACAGTTTTGTTTATAGGGAAACTGACCTCCAAGTAGTTCAATCATCTGCCAAGGGTCACACAGTGGAGCCTACCATTTGTACTCATGATGCCAGGCACCATGCTCAGTTATTTACAGGCATATTATCACGAAATTTTCCCAACTATCACATGATATCTGTAGTATTGATATCCCTGTTTCCTTGTGTGAAAATTGGACTCAGAGGCGGTGACTGGTCCGAGACCATAAGGTCAGCAGGTGGCTCGGGCAGGAGTCCTAAAGAAGCACTTCTGAAACGCAAACCTAATTTTTCAGACCGCAGCCCAAGGCTTCTGCTCCCACACCCCAGGGCCTCGCACCCCGCCTGACTGAAACAGATCACGACCGAAGTCCCCTCTTCGTGGAAGTCGGCCAGGAGATCTTCAGTCACCCGCCTGCCCTGCTCGGAGAGATCCGGACCAACGGGAGGTGGCAGGCGAGGCGGCGCAGGCGGAAGAGTCTCCGGGACCGCGGAGGCGCGGGGTGGATGGGTGGGACCCGCTGGGAGGGCGGGTGGGACCCGCTGGGAGGGCCGAGCTCGCCTCCTCCCCGCCCTCCTCCCTCCTCGGTCCTCAGACTGGCGGACCGGGCAGGCACTGCCCGGGTGGACGACCTCGGGCAGGCTTCCCACGGAGCGCAGCGGAAAAGCAAACCGGGTCGCGGAACCAGGCACCAGCGAGCCCCTTTTGTGCCCGCGCGGCGGCGGCGCAGAGCCGGCGCATCCCCCGGGGCCCGGGCGCGGCTGACCGACTGCCGGCACCCCGTGCGCCCAGCTCTCCGCACCCGGCGCCAGGAGCGGTTGCCGCGATGGTGGCGCGCGTGGGCCTCCTGCTACACGCCCTGCCGCTGCTGCTGTGGGGCGGCCTGGACGCCGCGCCGGCCGAGCGCGTCGACCAGGAGCTGCGCGAGGAGGCGGAGGTACGGTGTGTGTGCCTGGCGGAGACTTTGCAGATCGGCCTCCGGGCAGTCCCATCGGAGCGGACGGCCTGCGGTGCCATCTCACTGGCCCGTCCCCCCTTCCTTCACACTTGCACACCAACAGCCGGGGCAGAATTCTTCCCCGTGCCAAGGCTGGGAACACACAGGCACGCGGGGCCGCACTGATTGTCGCGGGCAGGGGCGGGGACAGCTACCAGAGGGGACTGGCCAGCTCTAGGACTGGTAAGCTAGAGTTGACCGGGAACCCCGACTCTCACCGCCTAGACCGGGGGGACTCGTCGTTCATTCCCCGGAAAAGCCCCCAAAGGGTGTAGAGGAGGGCGTCCTGGTGACTGAGAGCCTTGGCCTCCTGCCCGCGGGCTCCCCTGCCCAGCTAGCGCAGTCGTTTAAACAGCTCAGAACCGTGTTCTCTCCGTGTACTGATAAGGAGCTTTAAACAGTGCTTCGGGACTGAACTTGAAAAGGGAGCGGGGTGAACCAAAGATTTCCCATTTCACCCTTCTGCGACCGACTTGACTGTGTGCTGCAAGGCTGCACCAGGGGGATTTTGTTTTCCCCTCCAAGATGGGGCGGGGATCAATTTTGGGCCGTCTGTTTTCCACATAACGGTGATTGTAATAGCATAGCAGTATCATTCCTTTCTTCCCTGAGAAAGCATCTCCGTGTTATCCTTCTCAAGGATAGGATCCAATCTCCACCATTTAGAAGGAATGTACGTAAATTCTAAATCACTCATCCCAGCGCTCTGTCCTGAGACTTGCTCCTCTAAGAATTTCGTTCTTGCCCTAAAGCTGCCAGTTGGGAGCTTCTGGGTACCCTCCCTACTCCCCTTTCCTAAAAGGGGCCAGCTGAATTTGGGAAACGTCCAGAAAGAGGATGGCCTCTCTGAGTGAATCTTTTTTTCCCACCTGCCAACTCCTATCACTGCTCTGGAATATTTGTTTCTGTTTTTGCCAAGCTGGGATTGAATCTAGGTCCTTGAGTGTGACAGGCAAGTGCTCTACCACTGAGTTATATCGCCTGCCCTTTTTAAAAAAAAAAAAAAAATTATTTTGAGACAAAGTCTCACTAGGTTGCCAATACTAGCCTCAGTCTTTCAATCCTCCTGCCTCAGCCTACCTAGCAGCTGAGATTACAGGCATTTGCCACCACACCCAGCATCTGAAATACTTGGAAAAGAACTTGCTCCAACAAGAGATCGATCCTCTCTCCAACTCCTTCAGCCCCTCCCCTTCCAGGCACTGGTCTTTCTTTGTGCTCTTCACTTTTGCATATTCAAGAAATCATGTTGTTTCTGTGAATTTAGACTCTTACAATATCAATTGCAGAGTTCCAAAGTCCCAGGAGATGGCTTCTACCGAGCCAAGTCTTGTTAAGGGTCCCACCCCACCTCCCACCCAGTTCAGTCCCAGGCAATCATTGGCAGGGGAACAGAGACAGTATTTCAGCCACCCATGCCTGTGGTGGCCCCAGATGGAGAGAATTTCATCTTGGGATATGCTTGGGAAACTTAATATCTAGCAGATTGAGTCTCTTTCAATCTACTTAACATAAATTGGGGGGAGGGGATTTTTAACTCTGAGCATAAGAAATACTTTAAAAGCACAAAAACTCTGGAAAGTATAATGTGTCTATTGTCTATGCATGTACATACATACATACATATATATTTATGTGGAATTGTGTATGTATCTGGGTTTCTTTGTGGTTAATTGCATGGGCTTCCAGACCTGTGTGCAAACCAGGGCAATTCATTTAACCAGTGAGGCTTAATAATGCCTATTTCACAAGACTGTTGTATGGTTTCATGGAGATAATGCATGTAAAATGCTCAGTATAGCACCTAGTACATAGAGACCAGTTGCTGTCAATATCATTGATGTTAAAATTATCTTTATCATTATTTAGATAATATTATTTAAAGTCCTGGCTAGGCAGCCGGGAATGATGGTGCACATCTATAATCCCAAGTACTCCAGGAAGCTGAGGCAGGAGGATTAAAAGTTCAAGGACGGGCCGGGCTGGGCCGGGGATTTAGCTCAGTGGTTTCGCCGCCTGCTTTGCAAGCACAAGGACCCGAGTTTGATCCCCAGTACCAAAAAAAAAAAAAAAGTTCATTGGGGCCAGGGATTTAGCTCAGTGGTTTCGCCGCCTGCTGTGCAAGCGCAAGGACCCGAGTTTGATTCCCAGTACCAAAAAAAAAAAAAAGTTCAAGGACAGCCTGGACAATTTAGCAAGACCCTGTCTCAAAATAAAAATAAAAGGGCTGGGAATGTAGCTCAGTGGCAGAGTCCCACTGAGGTCCAATCCCCAGTACCACCATCAAAAAAAAAAGTTCTGGCTTGGAGACTACTTCTCCCACAATAATACCACAGGACAAAATGTGTGAGGCAACTATTTTCAGCACTGGACAATAAATTCCTTAGAGATGCAATTCCTTAGAGGTAGTGTTGCAGTAACTATAACTACATCACAAATTACCCCCAAACTTAGTGAAATAAAGCAACCCTTTATTAAGCTCACAGATACTGTGGGTCAGAATTTCAAACAGGGCACTCGGGGCAGCTTGTCTCTGTTCTACAATGTCTGAGGCTGGGATCCTCCAAAAGCTGTTTACTCACATTTCTGGTCACTGGTGCTGGTTGTCGTCTGAGGGCCTCAGTTCTAGTCCACGTCAGTCTGTCCGCATGATCTCTCCCTGTGGCCTCTTGTGGGCTTCCTCACAATATAGTGAGTCCTGAGGTTGGTAGGTTGGGGGAGGGAGAATAAATGAATCATTTTTATGACCTAGACTGGCAAGTTGTTTAGCATCACTTCTGCTGTACTCCACTGGCTAGAGCAGTCTCAAGCCCCACCCAGGTTCAAGGGGAGGGAACTTCGATCCCACACTTGGTGGGACAAGTATTTGTAAGAAGAGTGGAGAAATGGGAGATATCATTGTGGTCATTTAGGAAAATACAATCATCACAGAAGGGAAACACAGAGTGAGCCCCACGATCACCCTGGGTCTTAGCTCTGGGATAATTCCCTGAGTGCAGTTTAGGGAACAAGACCTCAAGCAGTGCAAAGTCCAGCTGAGCTAAGGTGGCAAAAGCCAGAGTTCAGGGCTGGTGAAGCATCTGGAATCCATGAAGCAGTGCATCACAGAGGAGAGGATGGCAGTGAAAGGGGCTCCCATAAGTCTGTAGGGAGTTCACTGCCAATCCTTGCCTGAGGACCACGCTGGTGTGTATAGGTTGAGACTCTGTGAGGCTGACCAGAGAACAGCTGCTGTGTGACTGAAAACAGAAGAAAGACTATAGAAGTTGAGAAGTTCTGAAAGATGTTGAAGGTCTGGCCCAGACAAAAAGGGAAAATGCCTGAACACATTCTGGGGTATGGAGCATGGTCTAAAGTAAGACTTACTCTACAAAGCTCAGAAATCGGTAGACATGAAATACTTCTTCTCTTGCCATAATTTCCTTAAAGGACAGCTGTTTAAGACAAAAAAAATAACATTGTAGGTTGGGCTTATAACACATGATAGTACCACAGGGTGTGGGGGCAGGAAAACAGAATTCTCTGTTGTGGATTAATACATTTGTAAATTGGAAGTGTCAGGGGTGAAGTAGGAAATGGGATGTGTCAAGTGGGAAGTGTAAAGTATTCTAATATTGGTACAATATTAACTCTAAGTGGACTAAAATTGATTAAGGATGTACTAAAACAGTTTAAGGAACACACACATGCGCGCGCAACAATTTAAAACCAAGCCTTGACAAGATCTGCAGACTCATTTCTGCCTCTATATCTTTTTATATCTTGGACAGTCCATATAATTGGAATAATATAAAATGTGGTCTTTTGTGACTGGATAATTAGAGATTTTAATATTCCTCTCTCAATAATGAGTAGAACAAGTAGATTAAAAAAATCAGTAATTATGTAGAAGACTTGATCAATACAGTCAATCATCTTGACCTAATTGATACTGATAGAAAACTACACTTAAGAACTACAGAATACATGTCCTTTCAAGTGAATTATTTACCAAGATACCCATATGTTAGATCATAAAATAAGTATGAATGCATTTCAAAAATGGAAATCTTGCAGATTATGTTCTCTGACCAAAGCACAATTAAATCAGAAATCTGGTGTGGCGGCACACACCTGTAATCCCAGCACTTGGGAGGCTGAGAAAGGAGGATCGTAGCGAGTTTGAGGCCAGCCTGGGCTACATAATGAGTGCAAGGCCAGCCTGAACTATACAGAGACCCTGTGTCAAAAAAAAACACCCCAAATAAATAAGTAAACATTAAAAATCAATAATAATAGATATTTAGCAAAGTTCCACATATTTGGAAATTAAACAACACATTTCTAAATTATCCATGGGTCAATGAAATCACAGAAGAAATTAGAAAATATTTTGAAACTGACTAATAATGAAAACACAACATTTCATACTGACATTTTGGGATGTAGCTAAAGCAGTAATTAAAGTGGCATTTACAGCTTTAACTATAAGTGGAAAAGAAGAAGGGTTTTAGATCAATGATATAAATTTCCAATGATATAAATTTTCTTTTTAAAGAAACAAGAAAAAGAGCAGGTTTATCCCAAAGGACATAGAAGGGAAGAAATAATAAAACCTGTGTGATTATAGGCTAGTTCCTCACTTCTCTGGGCTATACTTCCTTCTCTGTAAAATAAGGGGACTTTTTCTATGGTATTAGGGATTGAACTGAGGCCCTCATGTTTGTGACCCTAGTGCTCTACTACTGAGCTACATTCCCAGCCCTTTTAAAATTTTTAGTTTGAGACAGCCTCACTAATTTTCCCAGGCTGCTCTTGAACTTGTAATGCTCCTGCCTCAGTCTCCAAGTAACTGGAAATACAGCCATATGCCACCATGCCTGGCTAAGGAGGCTGAATTTCTTAAGTAACTTCTAAGATTTTCTCTAGCTCTGACATTGACTTTGGGGTGTGTGTGTGTAGAGACATCATCTGCCCATCTGTCTGTCTGGATGTATCTGTGTTCCCAAGTCTGCCTGCATCCTGTGTTCATGGCTGTACTACTGTATGTGTCCCCTATGTACACACAGAGTAATAAACCTGAAGGCTTTCCAGAGTGGGCTTTGTCTGGGAGGAGACTTATTGCTTCCAAAGCTGTGTTATGAACAAGTTCATTGTTGCCCACTTAGGAAAACTAGAGCTGCTCACAATACTTGTAAGTAGTAAGAGCCTCTGCTCTGAGTTGTAAGAGTGAGGGTTAATGAATGACATCATCGCCCTAGCCCCCCTCCCATTCCCAGCTAGGCCCTCCCTCTGGCTCCGACAGACTGTCCCAAGGGATTTATCTTTGCTTGGACCTTCTTTAGAACAACCAGGAAGTATCTCCAGAACCTCCCTCACACTCAGTGTGAGGATGCCAGTACGACAAGGAGCTAAATCATTTGTTTCTCCGGGGAGATGTTGGAGCTACTGCTACTGTAGACTATCCACCCCCAGATGTGGAGTCTGTTTCCCACACCCCAGAGCCATTCATTTGACTTTTTGTGAGTCAGAAACCCAGAAGCCCGGGTGTGGAGGCCATTCCCAAGAGTTCAGCACAGTGACTCATGGATACATCGTGAATAGTGCAGAAGGGGCACCAAAGGGTCCCAGAGGACAACAAAATTGATGGAAAATCATCTGTCAAGACAGTTTCAAAATGAAGAAATAGACGTGGGTATGGTGGCACACACCTGTAATCCCAGCTACCTGGGAAGCTGAGGTAGGAAGATGGCAAGTTCTTGGCCAGCCCAGGCAACTTAGTGAGACTTTGTCTCAAAACAAAATGAAAAGGGGCTGGAATGTACTCAGTACTTGCTAAGCATGTGCAAAGCCTGGTTCAATCCATACGACAAAGGAGAGGAAGAAAAAGAAAATGAAGAAGTTTAGTAAGAGGTGGGTAGTGAAGCAAGAACATAGGCAGATTCTGTTGGACAGCTTTTCTCTGAACTCAGCCTTGGGTAGGTGCCCTAAACTTTCCCCCACAGCTTAGTGAGGACACACAGTATGGTTATTTCTCATTAGAAAATGTATAAGATGGGGTCTAGGTGGACACTCATCAGCTAACGTTTCTAATCTTCTTTGGGGACGGAAAATGAAAGAAGGAACAGAATACAGCAAGAATTATCTAGGTTGTACCCAGACAGAACTTTTCAGATATGAGACTAGGGACCAGGAGAAGCAGGAGAGAAGAAAAGGAATCAGACAGAAGGGGAGGGGAAGCCTCTGCCTAGAGAGGAAGAGCTGAGCTGATCCCACTGTGCCTTCCCAGCCCCCCAAGAGGTGGGAGAGGAAAGCAGGGCACCCCAAAAGCAAATGTTGACCTTTGGAAGAACAGCTTCAGTCTCGCTGAGTGCCTCTGGTTTGTCAGACCACCTGCTTGGGGTGTGGTGGGAGGCACGATCCCAGCCTCTGTTTGAAAGCCATGGAGTCCTATGTCTGAGCAGCTTCCTCTCTTTACTCTGCCCCCACCCCTTGCAGAGAAGGCAGCAGAAATCCAGACGGAAATACTCTGCTTTACCTTTTTCCTAATTTAAGAGTCAGCACTCTGGTGGGAAGAGCAGTGTGGCCCCTTTTGTTCAGTGCTAAGGCCTCAGCAGGGGTCACTTGTTTAACTGTAAAACAAGATATCCCGGGTTAGAGGTCAGAGGATTTGGATTCAAGTACTGGTTCCAACATTCATTAGGACACTTTGACAAGAAACTACTCCCCTGAGACATAATGTTCTCATGTTTAAAATGGAAATAAAAACACCTGTCCTGGCTATGTTCTTACAATATGATTATGAGGTTCATAAAAGCCATAGTATCTTTAAAAGCTTTACAGTTGTCAAGGGCCTGTTGTGCTCCTGATTACCAGAAAACCTTGTTATGTACAGAACATGTCAAGGCAGAACGCTAGTTATCATTCCTTGCATGTTGACTTGGCTAATAAAGCTAAAGATGTACTTGAAGGATAAGGCAGACCTACAGAATCACTATAGAGAAACAAAAATCACCCGAAAATGTAAGATGGGCTATGTCATAGGTAAAGCAACATGGTTTCTGCATGAGTTTGCCATTTTGCAGTTTTTTTAAGTCTTGGTTTTATTTCTGCTGCTGAAATTCTTTGATGTGGAGGATATCTAGGAGGATGAGCCCTAGACTCATCTTCCAAAAGTCCCTTCCAAGGTGGATATGGTGATGCATGCTTGTAATCCCAGCCCTTGGAGGTTGAGGCAGGAGGGTCACCGTGACTTTGAGGCCATCTGGTTCCTTCCAGCAATAAAGCTCTATTACCAATAGAGGTTAAAAAAACCCACTTTTTTTCTGGTCCCAGGGAATTGAGCCCATAGCCTTCCCACCAAGCTGTATCATCAGCCCTTTTTTATTTTTATTTTTATTTATTTATTTATTTATTTATTTTTGGTACTGGGGATTGAACTCGGGCCCTTGCACTTGTGCAGCAGGCGGCGAAACCACTGAGCTAAATCCCTGGCCCATCAGCCATTTTTAAAATTTTGAGACAGGGTCCTGCTGCTTTGCTAAGTTGCCTAAGCTGTGCTCATATTTGTGATTCTCCGGCCTCAGCTTTCTAAAATGTTGAGATTACAGGTGTGCATGCCTGGCAAAAATAACATTTTTTTTTTTGGTACCGGGGATTGAACTCATGATCTTGTGCTTGTGAGGCAGGTGGGGTGCCACTGAGCTAAATCCCCAGCCCTAATAACATTTTTAATAAGACAATTGTCTCCAACTTCCCCAAAACATTTTCTTTTAAATTTTCATGGTGCTCCTGTAAGAAAGTAAAGCAATATTCTTTCCCGTGTTTTCTGCTTTGGGGCATAGAGAGGTTAAATAGCTTCATCATAGTTCACACATCTAGTCAGTCAGTCGTATAAGCAAGGCTACAATAAGGGAGCTGGGATGTAACTCAGTGCTCTAATCCAACCCCCTCATTTTATAGAAGAAGAGCCTGAGGCCCAAAAAGGACAGGACTTGTCTGAGGACACAGCAGCAGCAATGGGAATAAAACTCAGAACTCTTGGTCCAGTGCTCTTGCCCTGCCCATCTAGTGGCTCAGTTCATTGCTAACACCTCATTGCTAGTCTTGCCCTGTTCAGAAATGGCCACAATTTCCTCTTCCCTCAGGCACTAAATGGGCTGGGCCCTACACACCTTCCCATGACAAGTCAGGGCAAATACAGAACCAGAACCCCCAGAGTTCCAGTCCCACCTCACTGGATGGCCCTGGGGGAACTGTTTTCATTCTGCCCAGAATCACAGCCCTTCCCAGGGACTTTCAGAGGTGACTCGAAGGAAAATGGCCCCATCCCTAACCAAGTGGGCAAGGCATGTAGGCACAGCTTTCAGGCCAGAGTAGGGTGAGTCACCTAAGGGGCACACTCCTCCGGCTTGTGCTCCTTTTAGCTCAAGCCTGGGGCTCCCCAGGAGAGAGGCCGAGTGGAGAACAGAGAAGAGAGAACCATGGGCCTGAATCTGAAGCAGGGAGGAGCAGCCTGGACCCTGCCTCCATGATATGGGGCAGCTGGAGCGTAGAGTCCCCCAGGACACGCCCCCAAGATGGAAGCCTATGGGAGAAATGACCAGCTGCTGAGATGAAGGCTGGTCCTGTGCCTGGTTCTCCTGGGATCCCTCTACCCCACACTCCTGCTTTCTTGCATACGGAGTTTGGCATTTCTCTCACCCTTGCAGGGGGGAAACTGAGGCACAGCAAATGGAGCAGAGGGAGTCTGGCCAGCTTCCCTCAGGAGCACAATGTGGCCCCTAGTCCACAGCACTTTAGAGAACTCAGCACAGACACTAGTAAGAGGAACCTTCCTGTTTGTCAGGAATTGTAATATATGTGTGCTACGCATAAGTTTGAGAGCCCGTACATCCTGATACTCCCCATTAAAATATTTCATTGCTTTTATGGAATAAATCATGTCAAATTCTTAAAATGTAATTTCTCATTCTTTCAGCACCTCTGTTTGGCTGGTGTCCTTGGGCACGTAGGGAATTCATCTCTGCCATACAACTGCAGGGTCCCAGACCTCAGAACTTCCCCTCTGACAGCCCCCGAAGCCAGACTCCACCCCACAGTGCCTGCCAGAGTGCCAGGCACAGCAGCCCAGCCAGGAAACGGGAGGCGCCACCAGACAATTTCCCCTCCCTCCCCCTCTGTCCAAGGCTTCGTTCATAGTTCCAGAACCTGAGCCAACTAACCTGATAAGGGCTGGGTGGGTTCTCCAGGAGAGGAACAAAGGAGTGCCAGCCAGGTGAACCTATGACCTGGTCTCTCCCAAGTCACTCGCCCAGCAAAACTGCCTCTAAGGAGATTCTAATTCCCTGGCTTCCCTTAGAAAGCCTCCTATCTATCCTCATGAGGGGAGTCGGGCTGGAAGGAGAACAGGCACCTGGCAGAGGTAATGCAAATACGAGTTAGAAGCCCTGAAGTGAGAACAAGTATAAGTGCCTTGTTCAGAGCAGTTCCCACCTTACACAGGGGCTGCATTCCAGAATCCTGCTGTTAATGCTCCCTCTTAGGGGGATCAACCAGATCAACAGTTTATTGAGCACTTACTATGCACCAGGCTCTACACTAGTTCTATTTAGTTCTGGGGATCCTGTGGGGTTCATCTTATTCTCACATTGTAGGCAAAGAAATGGAGGCTCATAGAAGTTGAATAATTTGTCCCCACTCACCTAGCAGAGTCAGGACCAGGAACAGATTTTCAATCTCAAGCTCGCTCTGATGCCACATTACTTTGAGCAAGAAATCATTTTCCTGACTAAGCCAGTAGATCCCCTTTAATCTATTATGCAGCTGAAAATAGGCAACATGAAAAAATAGAAAGAAAGGAAGGAAGGAGGGAGGGAGGGAAAGAAAGAAAAAGAAGAAAGGAAAGAAAGAAAGAAAATAGTGCTGACACGCTCATAGATCAATACAGAAAAACAATAAAATGACTTGGAAAGTCAAGTTCTGCTGTCTAAAATGAGGATTCCTTATGGCTTTAGTTTGTGGCTTTAGGATTCCTTCAGTACAGGTGTATGAAGACAGCTGTAAATGAAATCCACAAAGAGGCTGGACACTTGCAGACTCCGGGGCTTGCTGTCTAGCCCTTGGTGTCTAGCCTCATTTCCAGCTATGTCTTTTCCTCGAGGCAACAGTTATGCTTGGATTTATTTTGCTTTAAGAATACAGCAAAGTGGGCTGTGCGGATTTAGCTCAGTGGTTTTGCTGCCTGCTGTACAAGTACAAGGATCCAAGTTCGATCCCTGGTACCAAAAAAAAAAAAAAAAATACAGCAAAGAAAAGTGAGGAGAAGAGAACAAGGAAGACAGAAAATTATCTGTTTAGTAAAACAACACAAAGGAGTGAAAATTAAGAGATTCTGTCTGTCTGTATAGGAACTAAGCAGCTTAGGCGACTTTTTTTTTTATCCATGGTGACATTTATGGGGATGTATTAGTGAGACAGGCAAGCAGGAGGTCAAGTGCATCACCTCCCCAGAGGCTAGGACTGGTGATAGGTGAGGAGCATGAATCACACACTTCTCTCCACTGGTCTCCAAGAACTTGGTCGCTGGAAAAGCAGCTTCCAGATATGTGAGGGTAGGCAGGGAGTAAAGGGCCAGTGGGACAGCCTCTAATTATCCTAACTTCCAAGGGGATCTCACCAGGTCCACAGATTTACATCACCTTCAAGCAAAAAGACTCTCCTGCTCCTTTGAGGTCTGGGATCATACAGCCAGTGCCTCTTTTGGTACCAGGGATCAAACTCGGGTCCTTACACTTGTGGGGCAGGTGGCGGAACCACTGAGCTAAATCTGGGGTCCTGGCCGGTGCCTCTTTGCCGTCCTCACATTAATCATGCTCACCTGCCCGATCTGTTCCTCTCTTAGGTGTCCTCAGTCATATAAGGCATCACCTTTCAAGGCACCACCAAGGCACCAAAATCTTAGGTGCCCTCCCAGTTTCCTCTCTTTCTTTCATTCCCCACAATTAGTTCATCATCAAGATTAAATAAAAAATAAGCCTGCGCTTCTCAGCCTGGCTCACAGCTCTGCCTCTTTGGCCACACCTCACATCCTGCTTCTTCACACTGTGTTTCCCTCTGTTCCCTAGACAGGTCAGTGTCGTGCCCAGCTCAGGGCTTTTGCATTTGCATCTGCACGGCTAGCTCTTGTTCTTTAGGATGTGTAGCAGATATTTGCTTCTCAGCAGTGTGTGGGGTGGGGGGTGGGGTTACTGAGGATTGAACCCAGCACCAGGCAAATGCTAGGCAAGTGCTATCACTATGTCCCCAGCCCTTTTTTATTTTTTGAGAAAGGGTCTCACTCAGGCTGGCCTTGAATTTGCAATGCTCCTCCCAATGCTCTCAGCCTCCCAAGTAGCTGGAATACAGGCATGCCTATGAGGTCCTTCTTCATCTTGTTGATTATCAAGTTTCTCTCTAAATTATTCTCAGTCACATCATGTGGTTTCTTTTTTTCATAGTGCCAATTTATCTCTTCTATTTACTTGTTATCTTTTTTGTGTGTCTGTCTCTAACAACTAGTGGATAAGCTCCTCTAGAGATGTCTTAATTACCATTGCACCTGGCACGTAGTATGAATTAAAAAACGAATGAAAGAAGGAAGTTGAGTGTTTTTAATAGAAATATAAATCTTTAGAAAGCCAAGTTTTTATATCAATTGTAAGATTGAGAGTAAATATTTATTTTCATAGAGACTTAACTATGTCTGCACTTAGGGTGAAAATTGTTTAGGAAGAAACTTGAATTAAAGAGTAATTCTCAAGGCTGGCATGGCAGAGCCAGCACCCGATCCACCCCTGACCAATACCTGAGCATTTCCTAGAAAGTTTAGATATTCTGGAGCAAATTGATAGATACAAGTGGTGTGTTTACACAACACACATACTAGCCACTCTGTATGGTCCTTCCAATGCGACAGGCATTGTGTTGAGTGCTTTGTAAGTGCTATCGTGATCAGTCCTCAGAAGAAACCCTGTAGACTAAGTACTGTTATAGAGAAGTGATGTGCTAGCTGGAATTCAGGCCAGCCTGAGCCCAGAGCCCGTAACTGTCCAGTGTGCCTTGCTAGGTTTCTAGCAATACCATAAGATGATAAGAAAACCAAATATTCAGAAATATTGAGTGACTTGCTAAAGATCATCCAGCTAGTCTGTGGTGGCCTGGAATTGAGACCAGGTTCTTTTGACTGTAATTCCAGGACTCTTTCTGATAGAGTTCACAGACCCTCTTGGGGCAAGAGGTGAGACTGAGCAGGATATACGTCCCATGAAATTTTGGATACCAGGAGAGGAAAAGATGCCACATCTTTTAGGAAAGTCTGTTGTTCCTCTCTCCCACAGGCATTCCTGGAGAAGTACGGCTACCTCAATGAACAGGTCTCCAAAGCTCCCCCCTCCACTCGATTCAGCATTGCCATCAGGTAAGACAGAGGGATGTGGAGAACTTGAGGGTGCAGGGTACAAAGCTCTGAAGAGCTCCCTTCTGGAAGGCTACGGGTGGCCATGTTCCTGGAAGACAGTCCTCACCCTACTACCATCCCTCCCTTTGTGGTCCTTTATCTCTGTTCCTCCTGGCAGACAGTTCCAGTGGGTGTCTCAACTGCCTGTCAGTGGTGTACTAGACCATGCCACCCTGCATCAAATGTCACGACCCCGCTGCGGGGTCGCAGACACCGACGGTCATGCAACCTGGATAGAGCGGATCAGTGCCCCTTTTGCTGGACGCCGGGCCAAAATGAGGCGAAAGAAACGCTTTGCAAAGCAAGGTAAGCACTGTTGGAACTCAGCTGGACTGGAGCTCACTGATGTCCTGAGGCCCATGGACAGGAAAGCAGCTCAGTCTGGGATGGGGCTTGGTCAGTACCCTCTCTTTCCAAGGCAGGGGAAGGGTGGGCCAATAGGACCGTTTCACTCAAGGACCATGATTGAGAACACAGACATTTTTGGTGCCTGCCTCGCAAGCACAAGGTCACGAGTTCGATCCCTGGCACGGAAAAAAACAAAAACAGAAACAAAAAAACCAACACTGACCTTTAGGGCCGGGGATTTAGCTCAGTGGTTCCGGCACCTGCCTTGCAAGTGCAAGGTCCCGAGTTCGATCCCCGGTTCCAAAAAAAAAAAAAAAAGAGAGAATAAGAATACAGACATTTAAATCGGAGTTACTTCTATTGATGAATTTTCACTGTACAAGTATTTCCCAAATCAAGCCCACTTAATTCCTGGATCCATTTTCTATGCAGGGCAGTTAAACTGTTGCTTACACTCTTCATTTATTTTTTACTAAAGTTATTTTCACCAGAATCAATTATTTTTATAATAATTATTCAACAAAGATGGGGTCCATTAATCATTTTATTTTGTTCATAGAACATTTTAACAGCTTCATTGAGACGGAATTCACATACCATGCGATTTACCCATTCAAAGTGTTCCACGCAGTGGTTTTTAGAATATTTGTAGAATTGTGCAACCATCACCACAATCTAATTCCAGAACATTTTCATCCCCCCCTCCCCAAAATCCCATGTCCATTAGTGGTTATTCCCCATTTCCCTCTCCCCTCAACCCCTGGAAACCACTAATCTACTTTCTGTCTGAGGGTTTGGCTATTCTGAGCATTTCTTCATAACACATCTTATATACTACAGTATCTGTTGTGATTTTTCCTTCCGTGGGTTTGTTTTGTTTCTTTTTTTTTTTTCTTCTCCTTCTTTTGTCTTTTTGTCAGTTTGTTTTGCAGTGCTGGGGATCTAACCCAAGGCCTGGAACTCTGCCACTGAACTGCAGTCACAGCCCTCCTCCTCCTTCTCCTCTTCATCTTTTTTATTTTCCTGAATCAAAATATTACAGGGTGAAATGGAAAAGACTGAAGATTTATGAAGATTTGATTCTTCCACTGGTTTTTCGCCAATAACGAATTTTACCACATGTAATTCTAGAATTACAGTTGCTCTTACTAAATCTAATTTTCTTTTCTTTTTTTTTTTTTTTTGGTACCAGGGATCGAACTCTGGTCCTTAGCTTGCGAAGCAGGCGGTGGAACCATTGAGCTAAATCCCCAGCCCACTAAGTCTAATTTTCTTGGATCGATTTTTGCAGTTTTCAGAATTGCTAGCCAGATGAGGTTATTTTTTTTTCAGTCAGGTTTTCATCTATAATTAATTTTACTGTGAGCACTTTAGGCCCTGCCATTTTTAATGGTTAACTACTTTTACCACTAACATTCATTAGGAACAGGACCAAAGGCACGCAGTTTGTTTCCACCTCTTAGCTAATCTATAAAGAAACTGCAGCCAGTTAGAGGGTGGATGTTCCTGTGTGTTGCCGATCCAAATCTGCTGCGTCTCCACGTCCAACCACTCTGGGTGCCTTGTTCTGTTGATGGCTTTCCTGATAAAGCATGGGATCAGTGATGGGGTCCAGGTTCTGACCTGATGGGGTCAAGATGTCCTTGGTGTCAACATGTCCTGCCTCCCACTGTGTTTCTGGGAATCAGAAGGGAAGGGTGAAGTAGGAGAGGAGAGGTCTGAGCTCAAGAAGTGCGGGTAGAACAGAGAGGACTTGGTCCCTGGAGCAGGAGACCCTGGGTTCAAGTCTCAGCCATACTTTGCTCACTGAGGCTCTGTTCCTTCATCCTCTTACATCTGAGATGCAGGCCTTCGAAGGTTGCAAAGGAGAGTCGGTCCCTGATTTCTGAGTGCAGGGGCTTGTTGTGAAAGGCAGTGGAAAATAGGGCAGCCTCACACAGTCTGGGCAGCTGCTCTTGGGGCCTGAGTTCTGGGGGTGCTTCCCGTGGTTCTCTCTTTCTTCCTTTCCTAGGTCCCAAAGAGGATCTAATGGAGTGTGTTTGTCACAAGCCCATTTGGAGCCTCCCTTTTGGGCAGAGGACAGTGATACTTGGTTGCCAGATAAAATACAGGATGCCCAATTAGATCTGAATTCAGATCAACAAATAATGGTATTTATATTTTTTGAAGTCAAATTTATTTGTTCAGTCAGCCAACCTCATTCTCAGTTCCTGCTCCTCTCTGCCTGATATTTAAGCTCCCCTGTTTCTTCGAAGAGCGGGGGGGGGGGGGGGGGGGGGGGGGGACAGGGGAGTATCTGGGATGGAAACAAAAGGAAAAGAGAACATAGTTACTAAGCACCTGTCACATGTCAGGCAGCTTTCCACTGTTATTGCATTTAAGCCTCACACCTTACCGCAAGGTAAATCTTATTAACCCCACTTTGCAGGTGGGGAAACCGAGGCTTGCTGATCTTCCATAATTTGTGCAGATTTGCAAGTGGAGGTCCTGGGATTCCAACCCATATTCTTTCTACAGTATGAGTTGCCCGCTGGGAGTCAGGATTCTAGGGTCCTACCCAGGCAGAGTTTCTAGCTCCCCTCCCCTCCCCTCCCCAGCTCCTTTTCCTGCTCTCTTCCCTTCAGGACTTTGGAACAAGGGTGTAGGAGGTGCAGCGCCAGCTGCTACTGGGACCTGAGGGTGGCCATAAAAACCAGCCTTGCCCAGTCAGGAATCTAGAATGGGGCCTGAAGTGGCTAATGTCCTCTAAGAGCCAGTCTGGAGGAGGACAGTGAGAGGGAGAGGGCTACTGCCCCCCATTAGTTCCTTCCTTCCTGGCAGGTGCATCCATGACCCCTGACCCTGCCCTCCTCCCAAGGAAAGCAGTCATTCTCTCCCAATTCCTGTTCCTGTTCAACCCGTCCTTCCCCCAAACACACATGCACACACACACTCGTGCATGCAGACACACACAGACATAACATACACCAGTTTTGCAGAGAATCTTTATCCTGAGACCAGTCATCTTCACTCACTACCTAAAATGAAATTGCCTACTTTCCCCGCTTTCCTGTCCATCAAGTGAAGGTCCCCCCTCACTGCACAAGAGTAGAATAAGTCAACTCACACTTGCCAGAGAATTACATGTTTGTGGTGGGGGAGACAGAGTCTGGGAGTCACCCACCCATCAGTGGGTGAGAAAGAGTCAAATGCCAGCCAGACTGTGCCCAGCGAAGACTTTAGAGTAACGAGCAGAGTATTTCTGGTACATAATAAACCCTCAGCCGTGCCTCTGGACCCCTGGCCTTCCCTTTCTCTCTCCCTTTCTCAGAATCACTCTCTCTTCCCTGCCTCAGGGTTGGTGACTGGCTGGGAGGCAGGAGTTGGGTGGCTGCCAGGCTGAACAGGCCCAGGGAAGCAGCATTGCCTTGAATGGAGCTTGGCTCAGGGGTAGAAGGGACACACCCTGCCCCCACTTGCATGGGTGCTGCTCTTGAGACCTTCCCTGCCATCTGGAGAGTCTCAGCCAGCGCAGAGCCGCTGCTTCAACCCAAAGGAGTGCTGTCTGGGCAGATCTGTAAGCCTAGTCTGAGCAAATGGGCCTGCTTCTCTTTGTGGTATAATGGAAAGATTAAGGGCCAGGGCCAAGCTCAGCTACTCACTCATTCTGTGACTCTGGACAGGTCCCTTCCCCTGGGTCTGTTACCCCACCCTGGACCCTGGACTTGCTGCCAAGCTGCAAGTCTTCCCCTTGGTGTCACAGTCTCAACCTGTGAGTTTGGAGGGGTCAGAGAGAGCCCAGGAGAAACTCCAGAGCTGGACTTCTAGCCACCCTGTTCCTGGGTGTGTGATAATGGTGGACTTGGGGCTGGGGCAGAGGGCAGAGGCCCAGCCCTCAGGGAGGAACCGAGGTTTGGGGCAAAGGGAGAGAAACTCTTAACTAAGCAGAGATGGAAAATTTTCCCCAGGTCAGTGACAAAATACACCCTTTGTTCTTATTTGTTTTCACCTCAGAGCTCTCCAGAGTCCCAAGGAAGTGAGGAGGGCAAGGGGGCTGGGAAAGACCTCAGATAAATGGGTCTTAGGGTTGTCGGCTAGCTGCAGGCCCATGGCACTGGAAGGGGCAGGGTGGAGCCTCTGGGAGGTGGCAGGAGGATGTGAGGGCTGGAGAGTTGTGAGGGCAGTCACAGCTATGACCTCAGTGCCTCTCCTCCCTGCTGCTGCACACAGGGGCGGGGATTTGCTGCCAGCAGCAGAGCTTTTTCAGGCTCAGTGCAGGCTGTGGAGAAGAATAAGGCCCCAGAACAGGGGTTCAGACTCCTTCAGGTAGGGACTTTTCCTGGGCAAAGGCTACACCTCTTTCATCCCCAGGCCATGATGCTAGGGTGGCAACTCTCCAGGACAAGGCAAGCCTCTTGGTCTGAGGGTTCCCTCAGCAGGGGCCGCTTTTCCCAGGAGGTCAGGGACTCCCTGAGGGAGGCCCTGTCCTGCATCATAGGGTGACTTTCCCCCATCATGGGGACCAAGTGTGACTGATGTGGCCTTTCTGGGTGGCAGGCAACAAGTGGTACAAACAGCACCTCTCCTACCGCCTGGTGAACTGGCCGGAGCGTCTGCCTGAGCCCGAAGTCCGGGGCGCCGTGCATGCTGCCTTTCAGCTGTGGAGCAACGTCTCGGCACTGGAGTTCTGGGAGGCCCCAGCCACGGTCCCTGCAGACATCCGCCTCACTTTCTTCCAAGGAGACCACAACGACGGGCTGAGCAATGCCTTCGATGGTCCAGGTGCTGACACAAAGGCTCTCTCCACATGGCAGGAGGGGAGCCCAACTAGGCGATGCAGTCTGGGGGTGGCAGTGGAGTATCCACTCTCCCAATGCCCAAGGCCAAGCTGTATCCCCCTCCGAAGAACCCTGGGTGTTCTTGTCTATAAAATGGAACAGTGGTCCCTGCCCTATTATGCACCACATGTCTGAAGGGACAGTCAGAGGAGGTTCTGCTCGGAAAGTGCTTTGAAAATTCTAAAGAGTGCTACAATCTGGGAGAGTCTTCTGAGGCCCCATCACCCACTGACTCCAGACAGGCCTGTGCTTCTCATTCTCCAGACCTTAAGAAAATCCAGTGGCCACTGCTACCCCCAGCTGACTGCCACAGAGTCAGAGATATCCTACCCCTAACCACCACAGAGGGGCTTCACATAGCCACGGCCACAGTTGGTTCCATTTGACCCCACCCTGAAGGCTTCTGGCTGCAGTGTAAACCGATCTCTTCCATTCTGCCTGATGCTGGCCTTCAGGACCTCAGTGTGAGCTCTTTGTACTCCTCCTCACTCCCAATGAGCAAAGAAACCTGATTGGACAGCTTCAGGTTGGGGACTTCCGCTCTGTGTGGCCGGGGCAACTTGGTCCCCCCTTCCCTTGCACTATCCTGCTTTCCATCAAGCCCACCTATAGCACAGCCTGCTGCCAGGCTGGGTCAGGCAGAAGGAGGGGCTTTGCCTGCAACTGCATGGAGCCTACACACATCCTTCCATGAAGCTCATGCCCCATGACACCTGCGTTACATATTTACTTCTGTGCCCACACAGAGCCCAGTAACTAAGACAGCACTCCTCGGGCAGCTCTCTCACTTGGGGAGATGCTTTGTCCTTTTGAGTTTGGTCTTCTCCTCCCTGAAATCTGCCCTTTTGTCTCCCAGTGAGCGCCACACGCAGTGACCAGTACTTGACACAGTTCAAGGCATACTCAGACTAGTAGGCTGGCCCTTTATGCCCCTATCAGGGTCTCCCTTTAATGCCAACTGTTCCACCTCTGTCCACCCCATGTGGCCTGGGCTCCAAGAAGCCAAAGCCAGAAGGATTCACAATCTTCTAGGCCAGCAGGATGGCAGAGTTTGCTGACTGTGTGTCAGAGTCGCCTGCCCCTGCAGAAGTGACATGTGTAAGATGAAGCCTCAGAAACTGCCTATTTCCTTATTTATTTTCTCAATTGTTTACTTGTTTATTTTTGGAAACTGTATATTTAATAAACTGCATTTGAGCCCCACTGAAAGTGAGAATCACCGATCCACCCCAGCTCCCTCTGCTCATTCCTGTGGCCCACAGAGGAGCCCTGGCAGAGGGAGGGAAGAATGGGTATACTTAGAAAATACGTGTACACATCTCAGTGTACAGACTGATGAACTTTCCCACACCCAAAACATCCAGAACCCAGACCAAGATACAGCATAGAAGGTGTGTCATGCCTCTTCTAAGGATAACCACCATCCCTCCTTCTGGATCTTTTTGAAAATAGCAGGCATGGTGCCATTAGGCAGTAATCCCAGCACTCAGAGGCTGAGACAGGAGAACTGAATCTGAGTCCAGCCTAGACTACATAGCAAGACTTGGTCTCAACAAAACAAAAACAAATTGGCTCATTACCACCATTCCCACTTTCCAATCAGAAAGCTAACACACACTGATTCTACACCATGCTGTCTGTTATAAGTCCATGCCTTATATTTTCTTGTTGTTGTTTTTTTGTTTGTTTTGGTTTTTTCGGTCCTGGGGATTGAAGTCGGGTCCTTCTGCTTCCGAGGCAGGCGGCAGAACCACTGAGCTAAATCCCCAGCCCAATGCCTTATATCTTAATCATCTCACCTCTCCACACTTTTGCTTCTCCCAGACTTGGGAAATTGTGCAGCAGAAAACAGTCACCCACCCAGCCAGCAGCATTTCCCTGCGCGGGTACGGGCGGGAGTCTTGGGCTGATTCACGCTCTGACTCTCTGCACCACCTGCAGGGGGCGCCTTAGCGCACGCCTTCCTCCCCCGCCGGGGAGAGGCGCACTTCGACCTAGACGAGCGCTGGTCCCTGAGCCACCGCCGCGGGCGCAACCTCTTCGTGGTCCTGGCGCACGAGATCGGCCACACGCTCGGCCTCGCCCACTCGCCCGCGCCGCGCGCGCTCATGGCGCCCTACTACAAGAGGCTGGGCCGGGACGCGCTGCTCAGCTGGGACGACGTGCTGGCCGTGCAGAACCTGTATGGTGAGCCCCCGAGCCCAGCCGCTGCCCTACACCTGTCCCCTGGGCCTCCAGGGCTTGGACGCTGGCTCCTCAAGTAGGATCCCCATCCTGAGCGCAGGAGGGAGGCCTCCCTGGCCAATCCTAAAGCTGAAAATCCTCGGGCCCAGGCGCCGCTCCGCCCTCCGCCGTGGCCCCCATCCTTCCACACTCCTAGTCAATTCCCATGTGCCGCTGCTCCCGGCCCTTCCCTTACGGCTCCAATTCCTGAATGCCTGCCCAACCCTGAGCCGTGGCCTCAGCTGTCACATCATGTCCCTGAGGGTTACCTACACCCAACCCAGACTGCCTGCCCCCATCCCAGACCCCAAAGCCCTCGTCCCTGTCCCGGGCCCCGCTTGCTCTCTGCTGGCCTTTCACTCAACACAACGCAGGTGCCGTATCCCCAAGTCTGGGATGGGCCTCAAGAGGCCGCCACAGACAGGGTGCCTCCCCCAGTGCAGGCCTGACCCGGTTATGCACCAGGGCTGCTGCCTGGAACCTGCCGCCACTGGACGGCCTCCCTCAGATGCCCTCCATCCCTGACTAGCATGTGCTCTTGAGCAAAGCATTTCTCCTCTGAGAACTCTCACCCTTATCTTCTGTGAAAAGGGGCTGAACGGGCTTTGTAGGTTGGGAAACCTGCACAATGTTGATAGTGATAGCTGCTATCTCAGGAGTATCTCTCAGGCCAGATATTGAAAATACTCACAATATGTCCATGATGTAAGTATCTTTTGTCCACAGACCAAGAGAATAGGGTTATGAGAGATTAGCTAACTTGCCTGAAATCACACAGCTGGGAAATTGCAAACCAGGATTCAGGTGCCAGGATCCTGGTGCCAAATTTTAAGCTTGGACTCTGCCTCACTCCTCTCATAAGGATAGTGATGCAACCACAATTGGAGTTATCACAGCTCGGGGCCCTGAGCCCTGCCCTCATGCCTCGATTGCCCAGGACTTGGGGAGAAGGACCCTGTCCTTCTTAGCTCCAAATCCTTGCTGAGTCCCTCCTTCCCACTGTATCTCTGTAGCTCCCTCTTTTCAGGGTATTGGCTGAGAGAGGAGATTCCCGATCTTGGACAGCACCAACAACTGGAGCAGCTCTTACCCGCTCCTCACTGTCCTTCCCTGCCCCTCACATGAGATGATCAGGAAAGGAACCGAGGGGAGGTCTTGAGCCTCCAACATACGCCATCCATGTCTTTTGTTTCCCTCTTCTCTCTTTGCCCTTGAAGGGAAGCCCCTGGGGGGCTCAGTGGGCACCCAGCTCCCAGGAAAGCTGTTCACTGACTTTGAGGCCTGGAACCCCCACAGCTCCCAAGGCAGCCGCCCTGAAACCCAGAGCCCTAAATACTGCCACTCTTCCTTTGATGCCATCACTGTAGGTAAGGTGGACCCACCTGTGCCTGGCTTCTTTCTTCTCTTCTCCCCCTCTCCCTGCCACCGCATCTCCTGAGCTCCCCAGAGCTGGAGTACAAGTGAAAGGACGGGTTCCAGAGCCAAGAATGGCCGGGCCACATGCACTCTGCAGGGCAGCAAGCCCACACCAAGCCTGGTGGCATTGCTCCCTCCTGCCCACATCCCCTCCACCCCTCCTGTGCCTGCCACACCTCTGCCTTGCAGTTTGGGAAGCTGGGTTGTAGGACACCACCTTGCTGGAAAGAGGGCAGGAGGCCGATGGTCATTTCTCAAGTTTCTCTTGTATCTGAGCAGATGGGCAACAGCGACTGTACATCTTTAAAGGGAGCCACTTCTGGGAGGTGGCCCCTGATGGCAATGTCTCAGATCCCTGCCTGCTGCAGGAAAGGTGGGCAGGGCTGCCCCCCAACATTGAGGCCGCTGCAGTGACACTGGACGATGGAGACTTCTACTTCTTCAAAGGTACCAGCCCTGGGGCAGCTGAGAGAATTGTGGCCTGGATAGGGAAGAGTCCTGTCCAGGGTCAGAGAAGGGGAGCAGTCTCATACAGTGAGTCCCCGGGAGGGTTTCTGCTCCAGACTGAATCTATGACCCAGGCAAGACTCTGTCAGGACCCTCGGCACTGATGGACTGGGGAGCAGCGTGTCAAGGTGGTCCTGGGGAGTGTTTCAGAGAAGGGTTGAGAGAAGCTGGAGACAATTCAGCAGGAAAAGTAGTGTCTTCCATGGGGTCTGGCTGTGTGAGGTTGAGGTGTCATTTCACTTTTGGAGCTTGTATTTCTTAGGTAAGGAAAATAATAGCTCAGGTTTGTTGTGGAAGGAAGATAAAAGACAGTACATAACTAGCTGAGGATGGTGGCACATTTCTGTGATCCCAGTACTCTGAGAGGCTGAGTCAGGAGGGTCTCAAGTTGGAGCCCAGCTGGGGCATTGTAGTGACTTAGTGAGACCCTGTCTCAAAAACTAAAAATGAGCTGGGGATATAGCTCAGTGTAAAGGCCCTGCCTGATACCACAAAAAAGAAAAAGAAAAGAGAATGACAAAAGAGTGTGCAGTATATTCCTAGATTACACCTACATCTACTCTGTGTAGGTTACTAGCATTCATTTCTTCATTCATTCAACCAATAGGAAGTGGTTTCTTCTATATATTCAGCATTAGGTGTTGGGCATATAGCCATGAATAAAACAAAACTTTCTGCCTTCATAAAATTAGTAATAGTAATGGTACTGAAGAAAGTTCCAGGCCTTCTTAACTTTCCATTCCATACCCAAGGAGGGGGTCCCTGGCTTCCCCCCACCCAGTACCCCACAGCCTGGGATGGTTAGGTTCACTGAGGGCCACCTTTCCTCTGCTGCCTCCTGCTGGAGGTCTAGACTATAACAGTCCCTCTCCTACTGTCTGGAACCACTGTAATTCCTACTAGAATCCACTTTGTCCCCAGTACTAATACCGCTGGGCTCCAACTTGAGGGGGTGGAGGGGCGGAGGGAGGCAGAGGTGGGTAGAGGACCAATGGGTGCAAGGCTCCAGCTCACCCTATCTCTCCTGATGCCCTGCAGGGAGTCGATGCTGGAGGTTCCAGGGTGCCAAGTCAGTGTGGGGTTCCTCCCAGCTGTGCCGGGCAGGGGGCCTGCCCCGCCACCCCGACGCGGCCCTCTTCTTCCCTCCTCTGCACCGCCTGATCCTCTTCAAGGGTGCCCGCTACTATGTGCTGGCCCGAGGGGGGCTGCAAGTGGAGCCCTACTATCCCCGCTTCCTGCGGGACTGGGGCGGCGTCCCTGAGGAGGTCAGCGGCGCCCTGCCAAGACCTGATGGCTCCATCATCTTCTTCAGAGATGACCGCTACTGGCACCTCGACCAAGCCAAACTGCGAGTGACCACCTCGGGCTGCTGGGCCACCGAGCTACCCTGGATGGGCTGTTGGTTTGACAACTCAGGGGGGGCCCTGTTCTGAAGTCCCCACCGCCTCATGAACATTGGTGCTCTCGTGACAACTCACTTCGCCTGCCCCAGGGGCAGAGCCCACCTTGGAAGCCCCTGAGGCTGCCTTGGAAGCCCCTGAGCCTCCCTGTAGAAGAACAGGCGCCACCTGGAAGCTTTAAGCATGTCTGCACTTGTTTCCCACCGAAGGTGGCACTGTCTCTGTGCTATTCCCACTACATGGACACGGGAGTGGATTGATCAAAGGAAAGGCGACAAAGGGTCCCAGATCTTCAGCCCGTTCCAAGGACCACTGTCCTGCCCAAGCCTGGGGGATTTTGTTTCTTCTGCTAAGAATGCAGTTCTGTCGGTGAGCTGATGTTGCTGGGGTCCAACCAGGGAGAATGCAAAACTCAATGGAAAGCTTGGAGACTGTTTTGCAAGACACTGCTCTTCTCTTAGGACCTCCTGCCTCAGTTCTTAGGAAATGATGTCCTATATAATCAGAGCCCTCAGCCCCAGGAAGCTTGTTTGGGGTTAAGGCACAAGATGTCTCCAACTTCAGAGACCCTTTGAGGGATCAGGATGCAAAACAGGAAGGAGACTGATGTTCACCTCCTGGATCTGGCTTTTTGACTGGGAAAGAATGAAGAGGCGCCCCCGGCTGGTGGCCCAGGAAGCAGCAAGCAGACTTTTTGGATCAGTTCTCCAACCTTGCTGGGGAGAGCAGGTGGGCATGGATGTGAGAGACGCAGGGACCATACTCTTCCATCCAAGCCAGGGCTGACCAGCTGTTCGTAGTTGTGATGAGAGGAGGCCTGCCTCTCCCCAGAAAGCGAATATCCTCACCCCCACTCCCCCTCCTGTGCCAGATGGAGCCCCGCGCATCAGGGAGTGGTCAGAAGCCCCCTGGGGGTCTGCACTGCTGCAGCACCCTCCGTGGCCTAGCAGGTGTGTGTGTGTGAGGGGGGGTGCCTGGTGCACACAATGGCCCCATTCTGCAGACCACACACGCAGCATTCCCAAAACTCCTGCTGTCTGGCCAAAAATAGCTGGGATTCCTGCAGAAGGAACCAGCTCCCCAGCCGCCGTGTCTTGCGCCTCAGCCAGTCTCTGGCGTGTATTTTAGCATCCGGTTCTCCAGTCCTCTCCCTGCCCTCTCCCAGCACACACCTGCCAGTACTTCCTAGGCACTCAGCTGGCCGCCTCCAGCCAGGCGAGGATGGTCTGGCAGGGTTCCGACCCTGCCTCGGTCCCCCGGGGCATTGCTGGCCTGGCGTTGCCTGGGCTTCTCTGTGCCTCTCTGGAGCAAGTGGTCTGTGCTGCCCCGTCCTGAGGGGGCGAGGGAGGAAGCTCCCGGCCCGCCCTTTTCTCTCTGGCTTGGGCCCGGGGAAGGAGGAGGAGCCCCAGTCTTCACCATTCCCTCTTGGAGCGGCCTCACCCACACCTCAAGGCACGGACACTTTGATGCGAGGCTTTATTGAATGCCTCGAGGGAAGGGGCAGTTGCTCAGAGGGACGAGGGAACCCCGAGGCCATTTCCCTGAAGCGCCGCCTCTGCCCGTCTTCAAGATGTGTGAAACTGCGTCGAGACCTGGGTCGGGTGGGCCGTAGGGAGGTGCTGGGTGCTGCCGGCGTCGCAGGCGCTGCAGCCGGCATATGTCATCTGCACAGCTAACGCCTGGCTAGATGACGGGGGAACCCTGCCTGATGGGGTGCTCGGGATAGCGGCTGGGAAAAGGGACAGATCTGTGCAAGGTGCGGGAGAGGGGTCCCCGTCAGAGGAGTTGAGGGTCAGGCAAGGATGGAGGACACAAAGGCTGGGAGTTGGGGCGCTCAGAGCCCCCGGCGGCCTCCGCCCTACCCAGATCCGGGTGCTCCAGAACACAGTGTGCCACGTAGGCCGGGTGCCTGTGCAGGGTGCTGCATTTCTTGCAGAAAAGTACCTCGCAGCGCGAACAGCCCCCGCGGCTCGGCCGCAGACGCCGCGTCTCCAGCACGCACCGCTCCTCCGGGAGGCTGCGCTTCCTACGGTTGGGGACCCGCGCGCTCAGGGCCGAGGCGACCCTCCCCCTGGGGCTCGGCACCTGGTACCCCGCGGGCCGGCGCCTGCCTTACCTGTCAGCGGGGGCCACCAGGCCGCTGAGCAGCGCGAAGGGGCTAAACCAGCCCCAGAACCCGGGGTCCGGGCGCCGCAGCAGCGCCACCTGCTGGGTGCTCGACTCCTGGCGCAGCGGGCAGTAGGACAGCGAGCCCCGCCCGCGGACATCCTCCTCGGCCGCCGCACCCTGCGCTTCCTCGCCCCCGGCCGCGCTCTCGGCGGTCCGCCGCTCCTCGCTCTCCTCCGACCCCTGCTCCGCCTCCCTGGCCCCCGACTCCTCCGGTTCCTTCTTCCACAGGGGAGACTTCGCGCCTGCAGGCGGGAGGGCGTCAGTGCGGTCCCCGGGGACCCTGCCTGCGGCAGGCGCCTGCGGGCCGCAGTGTGCTCGCGAGGCCCAGGCCCGCCGGGCTCCGCCAGAGGGCGCAGTGTGCACGGCCGCTGACGCCCCGGGGCTACTGCCCCATTTCCCAGACTCTTGTGCTTCCTCGTGAAGGATTCAGGCAAGCCTCCTCGCATCTAAATCAAGCTCTGTTTCCTCATCTGTAGAGTGAGAAAAAGTAGTTCCTACCTCCAATGTCAAGCGCCCAGCCTCTGGCTGGGCGTGGATCAGGCAATCAACAAATGGGAGACTGCCAATCCGGATGGGGTGGGTGTGCCTGATCTCCAGATAGGCTATTAATAAAAATGATTGTCATTTTAATAGTGGCTGTTTATATTTTGTTTTCTAAGGAAGATGTCCTTCCTCAGGGTGGATCTTGCCCAGCATCGCGGGCTGCAGGGTGGCCAGGCAGATGGGCATCCAACGCCTTTCTTAGAAAAGGCACCTTATGGGCAGACTGAGCAGGAAAAGGGCCCCGCGTGAGCTGATCAACTAGGAAAAGATGCCTCTTCCGTCTTCCAGGCTTGACCTAACTGCCAGTGCATTTCAGCTACCTCCCCCCACCCCCCCTTGCTGGCGCCCAGACCTTACGACTTTTCAGCCAGGCAGGCAGCAAGTTCCGGGCCTAACATGGAAACTAAGCTGGCCTCCTCTAAGATGTGTCCTTCAGCAAACATGCACCCAGCTCCAAGGGATCTGGAGAGCTGAATATATAATAAAAAGGGGGAGGCGGCCAGGGAAAACATGACTCTACGGGTTTGCCCTGGAAAGGTTAACAAACATTTCTGTAGATCCCTGTCCATCCTGAGAGGTTGGTAGTGAACTAGACTTGGTGGTGCACGTCTACGATCCCAGCACTCAGGAGACAGAGGCAAGAGGATCGCGGCAAATTCAAGGGCAGACTGAACTACAGAGCAAGACCCTGTCTCAAAATGCAAAACCAAAACAAACAAACAAAGGTGGTAGCAAACTGGGTGTAGCAGCACAGCTTTATAATCCCAGCACTCTGGGAGACAGGTGGGAATATCCTGAGTTTGAACCCAATTTAGCAGTTTAGCTACTTAGTAAGAACCTGTACCAAAAAAAAAAAAAAAAAAAAAAAGGCCTGCCATTGTGTGAAAACTCAGAATTCAATTCCCAGCAGCCGGGTGGGGAGGAGGTTGGAGAAAAGGAAGATGATTATAAACTGGTATTCTAGTCCACATGCACTGGGCACCATACAGTCTCTGTGCTCAACTCTTTTCATCCGTCTTGACCCTTAATCTCTACAACCCTCTCTGGGATGTGACAGGGTGGTCGGTCATAGAGGGGCCTGTGGTGGTGATCCACAACGTCTGAACCCTTAAAAGAGAAGTAATTTTGAACATTCTGCCAATTCTTGGCACTGCTAACAGTGGGGAGCCAGGGTCCATTGCACTTTTATTAGGAAAACAGATTAAGGAGCTTTGTGGTTGGGAAAAGCACATGGCCAGAGGGCTGTGCTGAGGACTTTTGGGGAGGGGGATATAGGACATGGGGTAGAATAGGAAGGTTGACACCCAGAGTTCAATTTGTCTCCCAGCAGTGGGAGCCACTGAAGGTTCTGATGAGAGACCTCCCTAAGCTGTATCTTGGGATGTTCCCTCTGACAGGATGGCAGGAAAGGTACTTAGGAATCATTACAGAGGTCCAGGCTGAAAAAGACAAAGGTCCAAAGAGGAGCAGGTGGAGATGAGGGAACGGATGTCAAGAAAGGAGATGGCTTGTAGCTACATGGATAGGTAACTGAGAAAAGGCTCAACTTCTCCTCTGGGGTTGCCACAGTGATGGGCAAGTTGGACCAATCTGGGGTCAAGAGGTCCTGTCCTCGGCCCACCCTGCTTCCGCCCACTCTCCCCACTCACTGTGCTTATCCATTCTCCCTGCTTTCCCTGATCAGGGACTGGGACTGGGATGTGAGGGTGTGCCTGTAACCCATAGAACTAGGTTTGTCTCTAGGGCCTTTGTTGGATCACAGGGGGCGGAGCTAGAGCCTACCCACCTGTAGGGTCCTCACCCAGGAAAAGCTGCCTTTGCCACAGCCTCTTGAAGCACTCGAAACCCAGGTGTCCCCTACCTTCCCCTGGGGTGGGCATCAAAGGGGAGTAGAGGGTGGTTTTGGCCCCTAACAGACTGGCTTCAGATCCCAGCTCTACCGTACAAATTTAAAAGCTATCTGTCCTTCAGCAAAAAACATTTAGCAGGATCAGTTCGGTTCAGAGGCCACTGCTAAGGGCTATTCCTGCTCACCAGCAGCATAAGCAAGCTCCTCATGTCTTTCCCTAAGACCTCATGCCTCTGGCAGGCACATCTGAGCCAATGAGCCATGCTGTCACTGTTAGGGAGCATCCCATCAAAACACCATGAGAAGGTGTCCCCAACCTGTCCAGCAACGCTTTGCCTTCCTTAGGGTGCATGTTACCTCTTCTCAGGGTTATCATGGGTTTTGTGGCACTTTCACCAAAACTTGGATTGTCATAAAGGCAATGCCAGCATAAAAACACATTGAAAATTGATCTCACAGAGGAGTAATCTCACAGAGCTGTCTTTGGTGAAAGCAGAACCAGCAGTCAATCTCAACAGCACCAAAAATATATGCATGCCTGCTGCACGCCGAGGCCACCTTGGAGATCCCTGGAGAGGGTGGAAAATGCACAATGAGCACAAACTCAGGATGGACTGGGCTTCTCCCCAAAAGAGATGCTGAAGGGGGCCAGGGATTTAGCTCAGTGGCACTGCACCTGCCTCAAAAGCGTAAGGTCCTGAATTTGATCCCCGGTACCAAAAAAAACAAAAACAAGAGAGATGCTGTAACATCCGAAGAGAATGAGCTATCTTTATTGGCAAGCTCAAGCAGAATTCTTTGCCACTCACAGAAATCATACCTAGAGACCAAGATGAATCCAAAAAAAGTACACTTTTGTCATAGTAAAATTTGATTTCTGTAGTTATAGTATAAATAGTTCATTACTTCTTTTGTTTGTTTGTTTTGTTTTTGGTACCGGGGATCAAACTTGGGACCTGTGCTTGTGAGGTAGGTGGCAGAACCACTGAGCTAAATCCCCAGCCCTAATAGTTCAATGCTTCTAATGAACATACCACAGATGCAATATTCATATTAATTGAGCAATAAAGATAATCTGAAAGAAAAATTATCCAATAGGGTAATACAGAGTGTCATGGTTTGGGTCTGGATGTCCCCCTGAAGCCTCATTTGGTTGGAGGTAGCTGAATCTCCAATGTGTGATGGTGGGATTAAGGGTGTGTGATTACTAAACCACTACATGTGAGTAGGTGGTTTGGCACCGCCCTAATCCCAGTAGTCTGGATGGGATAAAAGGGGCAGAAAGATGCTGTTAAGGTCTCTTGTTGCCTTTGCTACCTTGTGTGTGCCACGTTGTTTCTGCTCTGCAAGGCCTGTTCACCATCCCTGTCTTGGAGCCAGCCGACTACGGACTGAAACCTCTATGAACTGTAAGCCAAATAAACCCCTTCCCCTTTAACTTTGAGCATCAGGTATTTTTGTCTCAGCAAGGAGGGAAAAGTAAGTAACACACAGGCACTGCTTTAATGAGAATATGTGTAACAACAGCTTATATCTGTATAGAGAAAGGGAATGGGGCCTCTTGAACTTTAAGTGCATGTCAGTTAGAATGTATCTATCTGGCTGGTCAAATATTAGAATGGCCAAATAAGAATGGCTCAACTTTATAAACTGTATTCATTCACTTAATAAGTCTTAAGGTAGGGAGCTATAGGATTGGCTCCTACCTTTATTTCTATATTTTCTCCCTCTCCTCTCTTTCATGGAACTATGGATTGAACACAGGACCTTTGCACTGAACTGTATCCCCAGTCCCCCACAACCTTCTGGACACAGGGGCCTGCTAAGTTGCCCAGGTTGGGCTCAAACTTAAGATCCTCCCGCCTCACCCTCTAAGAGCCCTGGGATAACAGGTATATACCACCAAAACCACCGGCTTAGTGTTTTGATGAGGTTGTTACTAGCCCCGAGCATTCCTTTCTTTCCTCTCTGCCAGCTCTGAGAGAGCTTAATCTCTCCTGTGTGAGCCACTGTGTCAGGCAGTCTTTTTATTATACATAGCATCGTCACCTGGTGGGCCTGACTACCAGAGGCAGGCATGTATCTGGCCTGCAGACAGCAGAGACAGATGTTCCAGGCCCTCAGTTCCTCTCTCCCTCCAACCCCATGTTCCTTGTATGCCAGCTTCATAACTGCCCACAGCAGAAGGGCTTTCTCCATGTGCTGGGAGCATGGCTCCTGATCTGTGTCCTAAGCTCTTAACCATCCGACTGGGAAAAAAGAACCTGCCCTTCCGGCCTCAGTTCAAAAGGCCCAGGGCTCTGTTCAAAGGGCTCTGTTTGGGCAGCTGGAGTCTCACGCTCGATTGGTAGCTCAGGGAGGGGTGCCCCCCTAGGGGAGATTTGGCAATGCCAGGATATTTTGGCAATGGGAGAATTATCTAGCCTAAAGTTTCAACCTTGCCAAGGCTGAGAACCCCTGGGGGATTTTTTGGGGTTTTTTTTTTTTGGTACCGGGGATCGAACTCCGGTCCTCACACTTGTGTAGCAGACGGCGAAACCACTGAGCTAAATCCCCGGCCCTGAGAACCCCTGTTTTGAGTCAACCCTATGGACTCTCCAGGAGTTACATGGAATGTGACCACTGGCCTCACCTGCATCGGTGCTCCTCGCTGTAAACCTCTACTGCTCTTCTGTGGATGATAACAGCAGCCCGTGTGTTCTCCAGTTCCACGCATCTTGGTCCTGTGTTCATTCTCCATGCAGCGGCCTGAGTTAGAACGGGTCTCTCCTTCATCCAAAACTCATTTCACATGCAGAAAAAGCCAAAGTCTCTGGGGTCCTCAACAAGGCTCTGCAGGACCTGGGCTCCTTTTCTTCCTGGCCTCACGTCCTTCCTCTTTGCTATTCTTAGACTATGCCCAGCGCACTCCTGCCTTGGAATTTTGGCAGCAGCTGTTCCCTCTGCCCTGGTGCTCTTTCTCCAGAGGGCTGCAGGGCCCATTTCCTCCTCACCTCTCTCAGGTGTCTGCCTGGATAGCACCTCCCCAGAAGGCCTGCCCTGGTCACCTTTTGCAAAATGCCACATCTACATCTCTAGCTCCCTGGCATCTTTATTTTTCTCCCTGGTACTTAACACCATCTGACTTACTACAGAGGTATGGTATCCGTTTAGCTGGCAGCCATTGGCCAGTAACATGCAAGCAGCTTCCATGAGGACAGGGACCAGGTCTTTTTGTGTATTGCTACATCCTCAGGGCTACAGTGATGCCTGGCACATAGTAGGTACTCAAGAAATCTTCAATGAATGCATTGTGGTGGAGAAGGGGGTGCGGTACCATGCTGGGCAGCCTGTTTGGAAGAATCACATGGCCAGAGCAGGGGAGGGGCGGGTTCTCTGGAGATGGTAGATGCATAGACAGGGCTGCCACAGGGAGAACCATTGAGACCTGTGCGTCTGTGTTCGGACAGCCCGATGTTTTCCCATACCCTATCCCTTTATTCCTTACAACACCAGACAGGCAGACATTATCACTGCCCTTTCACAGTTGAGAAACAAAGGCACGGAGAGGCTAGAGTCTTTGCAACTCACATGGGGATTCAGGGCAAAACTCCTGTGTTTGGACTCTTGCTGTATCTCTCTCCTGCCCAAACTCCAGTGTTCACAGCCACCCCTGCCCCTGCCCCTGTCCCTGCCCTCCTCCCACTCCCCCAGATTCCCTGCCGGGGTCAGCGGTGAGAGAAGCCAGCCTAGCCTCTCGTGCTTCTTCGCTCCAGGGCCCAGGGCTGGCTGGGCAGGGCAGGGTGCGCCTGTTGCAAGGGTTTACAAGGAGTGTTTGTAGCAGCCGCTGTCTCCAAGGAGAAGAAAGCAGACCAGGGAGGTTGCAGCCATGCCAGGCTTCCTGGCTGGTGGTGGCAGCAGGTGGGAGCAGCACTTGACCTGTCCAGCCCTAGGGGCGAAAGGAGTGTCCTCACTTCCATGCCGGCTGGGAGGTGCTGAGCTCTAAGGGGACTGGGCAGCAGGAATGTGAGATTGCCACAGGGCCACCAAACTGAGGAATGAGGGGGAGGGGGCAGGGGCCTGGCCCCGCCCGGAGGCTGAAGCCAGTAGCAAGCAGCACAGCCAGAAGTCCTGGGTTCTTCTAGGGTAGACAGAAAAGCTTGAATTCAGAGAGGATTGGGCCAAGACTCAAGGAACAGGAGTAAAGAGCCAGCAGTGGGAGAGAAGAGGTACCCACCTCCTTCCCTGGTGAAGTCCAGCCATGTCCCAGCTCTGGGGACACAGGAAGAGGCATGGGGCCCTGGGGCCTCCAGTGCGCAGCATCCGTCCCTTCAAGTCCAGTGAGCAGTACCTAGAGGCCATGAAGGAAGACCTGGCCGAGTGGCTTCGGCATCTCTATGGGCTGGACATCGATGCAGCCAACTTCCTGCAGGTGCTGGAAACAGGCCTGGTGCTGTGCCAACATGCCAACATGGTCACCGAGGCTGCTCTGAGCTTCCTGGCAGAGGCACCTGCCCAAGCTCAAAGGATTCCCATGCCTCAGGCTGGGGTTTCCTGTAATGGCGCTGCCCAGCCAGGTACCTTCCAGGCCAGGGACAATGTCTCCAACTTCATCCAGTGGTGTCGAAAGGAGATGGGCATCCAAGGTAACCACCTTACCCCAGACCCTTGTGTGTTTTGTTTTGTTTTTTGCTTTTTTGAGACAGAGTCTTGCTATATAGTTCAGGCTGGCCTTGAACTCACTGTGGAGCCCAGGCTGGTCTCGAACTCTCAGCGACCCTCCTGCCTCAGCCTCTTAAGTGATGGGATTACACCACATCCAGCTCAGAATCTTATCTTATGGGGCACCCACCCCCTTTCTGATATCCAGGCTAGATCTGGGGGTCAGGAACTTAGGTGCTTCTTCCAGATTTGCCTTGGGCCACTCATCTCTTTTCATGCCTCAATTTCTCTACCTCATAGAAATCCTCAGTAAATCCATGCTGATGATTGATAAATGTTTACTGACGATTCATTCAACCAATATATGAAGTACTTCCTCTATGTTGAACACTATGACCAGTGCCCAAGGCATGCACGGTCTAGCAAGACAGACAGATGAGTAGATATGTAAATCACAACCCAGGAAGAGAAGTGCTCAAAGTCCAAGTGCCTGTGCTGGGGAGCCAGAGGAGGAATCAGCAACCTGATGATGAAGAAGTGGGAGCCAAGAAGGTCACTGGGGCTAAATCTGGAGGAATTTGGGGAAAGGGGAATTCTAGGCAGGCGGGGAGCAGCAGCAAAGACACAGAAAAGGCCCAGTGTCTGATGACTGGGAGAAGCTGGGGGTGGTGTACATTTGGGCTAGTGAGGGTGAGATTCGGGAGGAGGCAGGAGGAACAATGACATGAGGGCAGGGCACAGTCATGCCAGGGCTTGTAGGACTCAGGGGAGTGACCTTTCGGGATCCTACATCTTGCTGGCCTTGGACTCAGGGAGGGGATGGGGCTGGATGTTGTACCATCCTCCAAGCCAAAGGTGACGGGTGAAGGGGTGGGGCTGGGTTGGAAAGTTAATAAAATCTAGTCTTGGGCCAGGGATTTAGCTCAGTGGTTCTGGTGCCTGCCTCACAAGCGCAAGGTCCTGAGTTCAATCCCCAGTACCTAAAAAAAAAAAAAAATCTAGTCTTAAAAGTTAGCATGAAAAAAAAAAAAGTTAGCATGTAGGGCCGGGGATTTAGCTCAGTGGTTTCGCCACCTGCTGCGCAAGCGCAAGGACCCAAGTTTGATCCCCGGTACCTTAAAGAAAAAAAAAAAGCTAGCATGTAGCTCAGTGGCAGAAATTGTGCTTAGTGTGTGCCAGGCTCTGGGTTCAATCCCCAGCAATGGGGAGGAGGAGGTGCTGGTGTTTTAGCCAGGGGTAGCAGTGCAGGTCTGTCATCCCAGTACTCAGGGAGGCTGAGGCAGGAGGATTAAAATTTCAAGCTGAGCCCGGGTGATTCAGTGAGACCCTGTCTTAAAATTTAAAAAATAAATCAATAGGAGCCAGGTGTAGTGGCATACATCTATAATCCCCACACTCGGGAGGCTGATGCAGGAGGATCATTGTGAGTTTGAGGGCAACCTGGTCTACATAGTGAGCTCAAGGCCAGCCTGCACTACAAAGTGAGACCCTGTCTCTAAAAACCAAAATAAAAATAAACAAACAAATAAGGGCTGGAGATGTAGCTCACTGTGAAGGCCTTGGATTCAATCAATCTCTACGATCCAAAAAGGAAAAAAAAAAGCTGGTGTTTTATGGAGCACTTTTGCTGTATCAGACATTATCTGAAAATACTAACAATTATTAGCTTATCAAATCCCATGAAAAAGACTGCATCCCATTTTAGAGAAGAGGAAACTGAGACCCAAGTTACATAGCTGGCCGGTGGGAGGAGTCCAGAGCCTGGTCCTGCCTGGACACAGGGGAGTCAGGAGCCTGGTGGACGCCGAGAGGCGCAGGTGGGAAGCAGAGCGCCTTGCTTTCTCTCCTGGCCGCCAGTGGGGGGGAGGGCAGGTGGCGCGCCCAGCACCGTTCTCCTGCCATCCGCAGCCATGTCCACGGGTCCTCTGCTTTGCCGTGTGGCCTCTCCGCACACAGCCCCTCACGAGAGGCCGGGGTCTTCTCTGGCCCAGCCCCTGAGCAAGCCCTGCAGACCTCTCCCGGGGCTTCCTGGGCCCTGAGATCCCAGACCTGAATCATGTCTCCTACCGGGTCTCAGGACGGGCCCCAGGGTTCCCCGGGGAGGTCAGCAGGGGACTCAGGCCTCCTGCACCCCTCTCCCGACCCCACGCCAGAGGTGCTGATGTTTGAGACTGAGGACTTGGTGCTGCGCAAGAACGTGAAGAACGTGGTGCTGTGCTTGCTGGAGCTGGGCCGCCGCGCCTGGCGCTTCGGCGTGGCGGCGCCCACCCTGGTGCAGCTGGAGGAGGAGATCGACGAGGAGCTGCGGCAGGACCTGGCCCTGCCCCCGCCAGACCCCCCGCGCCCCGCGCCCCCGCCTCGCAGGCCCTGCCACTTCCGCAACCTGGACCAGATGGTGAGGCCCTGCGTGGACCCTTAGGCCCAAGACCCTTCACCCCGCCCTCCTCTCCCCATCCCACCCCAGACCCCTCGGAGCCACTCCAGCTTGACCCCCAGTCCCCACCGTGCGGCTTTGAGGGGTAACCACAGGTAGTATGGCTCTGCCTCTAATCACCTTCATTGCCAACCAGGCACTGCACACCTCTGTACTGAACTCCCAGAGGAACGGGTGTGCAGAACACGGACGCTGCAATCCCCTCTGACACCTTGGCTCAAGGATTAGCGCCACTGCTTCGCCACTGGGTGACCTTGAGCAAATTATTTGACCTCTCTGTGACTGGGTTCCTTCTTTACTTCTGTCCCTGTAGCGTTGAGACAGTAGCAGCACCTATCTTCCGTGGCTGCTGTATTAAGCGAGCCAGTCCTCGCGAAGTGCACTGGAGTGTGTCTGCCGAGAGGGGGCGCTTCGTAGACATGCGCTCTTAGCATGCTTAACCCTGTTTCTACCGCCCGAGAAAATGGACCTCTGGGAGGTCTCTTAACTAAAGGCCTGTGTTCCAGGACACAGGACTCTGAGTCGAGCTTGTCAGCCTCCACTGCCCACCTGCTTAGCCATTCTACTCCACAGCTCTGGCAGCTGACCCACAGGGGCATCGGGCCGCAGTTTGTTCTCACCTGCTCATTTAAAGTCTTCTCTGGTCTCTACTTGCTTCTCAGCCCCCACCCCTGACCTCAGCAGCAAGCTTGGGGGTGGCTCTGGAGGCAGGTAGGCCCCCATTTAGCTTGACCCAGCATTGGGGGAACTTCGGGTGCCCAGACAGAGGGGAGGGCTAAGCCCTCTGCCCACTTCCTGCAGGTGCAGAACCTCGTGAGCCACTGCACATGCCCAGTGCAGTTCTCCATGGTCAAGGTGTCTGAGGGGAAGTACCGAGTGGGGGACTCCAATACCCTCATCTTCATCAGGGTAAGTGTGGTTTGGGAGTGGAGGGACCCCCAAGGTCGGCACAATCAGGTTCCTTTCCATGAGACCTTGCCCAGGTCTAAGGGCAAGGACAGGAAGTTACCATATACCCCAAGCTATAGGCCTTGGGACTCTCCTTCTCTCCCTTGGAGGTTCCAGGGGGATCCTGGCAAAGATCGTGAGCCTGTCTTCTCCTCCATCAGGGCATCTAGAACCACCACCTTCCATTGCCTCTAATATACTAAGTCTAGAGGCAGAATTAGGGAATGGAGAAGGTGTCCTCGTTTTCCCATTTCATTCTACTCCACTCTTCCCACAGGGTCAGTCAGAGTAAGGGGCCTGAGAAGCTGAAGTCTGTGTTCAGTGTGCAGCCCCCGCCACACAGCTGCCGTAGTCCTGCTTAGTATATTCTGCAGAGCAAGTAGCAGTACAGGTCTGAGATGTGCCTCCCCCCATACCTGGTTGCTCAACAGAAATGGTCTGGGCGCTGGGCTGTGGCCAGCAGTTGGGGACAGGGCCACACCCTTTCCTGGAGTACTAGGCCAGCAACCTGAGCCCTCACCCAGACCCTGAGGCAACAGCCTTATGATGTGGGTAGGCCCAAGGAATCACGGGCCCAGTTTCACCTGAGGAGATGAAGCCTGGAGAGACCGTGTGACCGTGTGACCAGCATTGTGTGGGATGGGACTTCCGCAGGCTCTGCTACCTACACCACAGAGGCATCTGAGAAGCATTAGGCCACATTACAGATACAAGGATGGGCAGGTGCACACTTTCTGCAAGAGGGGAGAGAAGGGGATGCCCTGGGGCGAACCTATGCAATGCTGTGTAATCCCCTGTCCAGTTGGGTCAACTTTCTGTGTGTAACTTTGGTCCTCACTCTTGACAAGATGTGTTATCCCATGCAACTCATGGAACTAGACCTGCTCCCAACCACACACATGTCCAAGAGAGGATCTGCATGTGCGTGGGAACATGGATGGCTGCACCCTTGAATGTGCCTCAAGCCTCCAAGGTGGTCCAGGAACAAGGGATGCCTTCTGCACTGCACTCAATGTCTTCCTTGCGCCCTCAGATCCTCCGGAACCACGTGATGGTGCGTGTAGGGGGCGGCTGGGACACGCTCGGCCATTATCTGGATAAACATGACCCCTGCCGGTGCACGTCCCTCTGTGAGTCCCTTGAGAGTCCCCTCCCTGTGGGGTTGGTTGCAGAAGCCTAGCTGGGTGTCAGGAGACTAGTAGCAGAGGTGGAGGCAGGACCCATCTCCAGGTGCAGGAGGTGTGTGTGGGTTTTGGGGGGTTGGAGGAAGGTGAAGGAGGAAGACGCTATAATTGAGCAGTCATGGTGCAGTACTAACTACAGCCACAAGATGGTGCACAACACATGCAGAATCAGCATTTGCTCAGGGTGCAGTTCTGCGGAGCTCAGGTCTGGCTGTTGTGTCTACAGCGGTGGCACCAAGCGAGACTTGGAGGGATGTATTCCTTCTGTAATCTCTGTCGGCACTTTAAGACACCTCAGATAATCAAAAAATCGAAGAGGTGTGGAGCAGCAATACTAATCCAGCTTTAAACAAGTCCCCCAGGTGGAGCCTGTGACTAGATTGTCCCCCGTCCTCCTGGGAGGAAACATTGGTGCTGTCACTGTAGTCACTATTATCTTTAAAGTGGGATTTGGGGCATGGGGCAGCTGGGGGAGGGGAACAATGAACCCCCTCGGCAGGATTTGAACCTTTTCTCCCCTCCTTTCTCTGGGGAACTATGTTGGTAGCACACAAACCAGTCAGCTTCCTGAAGCCCCCAGCCCCACCGGTGCAGCACGAAGTAAAGGTGCAGGGTGGACCCTCCCTGGCCCAGCCTACGATGACCATCAGCCGCTCGCAGAGCCCGCTTCCCCCCGTGGACTGGAAGACATATACTGCTTCAGGCCGACAGCTGAGGCCTCCCTCCTCTTCCTCTCCCAGACCCTGCAGTGAACGGGGAGCAGGCTCTGGGGTCCTCAGACAGACAGCCCCATTTCTAAGGTACAGGAAAGGGACAGGGAACAATGTTTTTCTCCTTTGGAGTCCCTGTTCTCAGAGGGAACCCCACCTCAAGATAAAGGAAGCAGTGCCTGTACCCTAACAAATCTCAGAACGTCCCAGAGCTTTGGAACCATCTAGTTCCTTCATGTGCCAACTCGTCTCACACACAAGGAGGCCGAGGGCCACAAAGGGAACACACATAGCCAACGTCCTTCTGCCCTTTCATGGTGGAGCCGAGACTAAGGCCTCTCCGCCAGATGAGTGACCTCTGGTTGGCAGACCTCTGGTCTGGGATCATCGCTCACAGGACCTGAAGTCACCCCAGGCCTGGTTCTCTTCTACTCCTTCTAGCCGCCTCATGGGGAATGGGGAGAGGAGGCTTGACCCGTGACTGTCACGGGAGAGTTTCTGGCCCCTTGGTGTGTTCAGGTTGGGGGAAACCCTTCCCTTCCCGGAGCTAGGGGGTGCACTTGGCGAGCCTGGCAGCTCCGTAAGTCTACCTTCCCAGACTGTGATTCTTCTTTTTCAGGTCCCAGGAGAGGTTTCTTACTTCATCTTGGAGGCAGTTGTCATCTGGGGACAGCCTGCCCAGTCCCCAGTTCTCACCCACCCATAGGGACCAAGGCCTACGGTGCACCCCATCGGGGAAGCGAGAGATCAGATACCCTGAGGAAGCCCCTAGGGGGAGGACTCCCGAATCCTGGCTTCACGAGGAGTCGGTCAGCTGGGGAACCCATGCCAGGGCCCCTACCCCTCAGAAACCCCCAGCTCCTCGGGCCACCACCAATGGGACATCAGCAAGAGGGCCACCTCCCTTGCCTCATTCCTCTAGCCCAGCCCAGCCCCTGGGCCACGTGCTGCCACCCCGGGGTGAGGCTGAGGGTGCATCCCTCCAGCTCAGGGAGCCAGCGTCTGTCCGTGCTCCCTCCCCTGCCAAAGCACTCACTAAGCTCCCCATCCGGCTGTCCCCCTCTTGCCCTCCCACCCCAGGAAGAAGCTTTCCTGGTACTCTAAGCAGAGGACCCACAGCAGAGCTGAGCAGGGGTCCCATCCCAGTAAGGGCTGTCATGGGACACTTGGCTGGGTCCGGACATGAGGACAGCGCTGTGGAAGGGAGGAGCCAGGGGGCCCAGCAGGCAGACGTCCAGGTCTCTGCAGAGGCTGGAGAGCCCCAAGACCTGGGCCCACAGGAGTGGGACGGGAGGTGCACTCCACTGCCCCTGAGCAGGACCAAGGAGCAAACCATCTACCATAGCCCTGAGGAGGAGATTGTGGCCAATGTGAAGAAGTTAGAGGTGGGGAGTGCCCATCCCCAGGGGGCAGAGCCGCCAGTCATCCCTCGAAGTGGAGTCTATGTCCCTAGCCTGGGTGGGCGGTGGCCTGAGCCTGGGGGTCTCTATGACCAAGTCATCCAAGAACTGGCTCAGGGCCCCCCACCCCTCCTTAAAGTGGACCTGGAAGCCTGGAATGTCGCCCCTACAGGGTCCCCCAAGCCAGCTGTTACTGCAGGCCCAGGAAGCACAAAAGAGAAGTTGGGAGCCAGAGACAGTGGGCCACTGACAAAGGCAAGCCTCAGTGCCAGAGGAACCAAGATGTGGAAGGTCTCACCTCCAGGAGGGCAGGACTGCTCAGCCCCTAAGGTGTCTTCCAGCCCTGAGGTCCCCACACCTTTGCCCTCAAACCCCAGTTCTGACAAAGCCAAGGGATGTCAGGGCAAAGGCAAGAGAACACTCCGGAAGCCCAAGAGGGTCCCATCCATCTATAAGCTGAAGCTGAGGCCCAGGATCCGGCCCCGGAGAGACCACAGGCCTGAGAAGCATCCTTCACGAATCCCCAAGCCACTGGCCTACCTCTGCCTGGGTCCAGCTAGGCTACCCCCTAGGGAGAGGCCACTGAGAGCTGCCCTAGGCAGCAAGAGAGGAGAAGTAGCCCAGGTGGATGGAGCTTCAGCAAGAGAAGAGGATGAAGAGAAGAAGAAAGAGCCACAGGCTCTACTGGAGAGAAGTCCCCCACCTTGGGAGGGCCAGGGCTCTCAGCAGCTTGATCAAGCCCAGCTCCCCTCAGAGGAGGAGTCCTGGGTCTGAAGGTACTGCAGGTGAGAGGAGGGAAGCAAAATGGATGCCCATGTATGCAAGAGCAGACAGGACCTTGGCCAGGAGGCCATCCAAAGACAAGCACAGACTCAATCTGTTCCACTGAGCAAAAGGACAACCCATCACTCCCATTCCAATTCCAGCGTTAGCCCAAGGACAGTGGGGTGACTCTACATCATACTGCCCTTCCCCAGAAAAGTTCTCCCAATTCCTGGGCTCTCACCACGGCCCCCCCTTCCCACAACTCTAAGTCATTAAACACATGTGGGTCTGTTGTGGAGCCCCCAGCGTTTGGACTCCCTTACTCTAGGACTGTGGAGGTGTAGGAAGGTGTAGCTTCAAGTGTTATTCGACTGAAGGGAGTTGGGGGTGAGGGAGGCTTCCTCTCCAGAGAATCCACCAGCCTCGCCAGAAACCCTTCTTTCCAGAAGGTGGCCGGTGGCTCGTGGTTCAGAACCATGGACAGGGACACGAGCTGCCCGGCACACAAGTTCCTGCAGGCCACCTTGCCAAGGACTTCAAAGCTTTGCTATGAGGCTTGGGAACCCAAACCATTCAGGAGCAAGACGGATGGCTGAGTGTATTTCTAACACACCTATGTCCCAGAAGCCACGCCCGAGAGGCCACAAGGTCCCAGCCCTGTGTGGGAAGAAGACACAGGAGAAGCTGGGATCGAGTTCTGTTCTAAAAAGGTTGCAGAGAGCAGAAAGGGGAAACAACTATATTCCCTCTTGGTTTGGAGTTGGGTGGAGAGGAGATATGTCCCAAACTCTTCTCCTTTGATCTCGCTGACCTGAGCTTTGGGATTGGTGACCCTCCTGCCACACACAGCTCAGCAGGCAGGTATTGTAGCGACCCCTCCCCTCCTTCCACGTGGAACAGAGCCAACACCTTGGTACAGAAACAAGGGAAACACTCCCTGATGTTTAATCTGACTTCTGATAACAGCCTAATGGGCATCACACACACTTCCAGACCCTGTGGTGGGAAACCCTGGTGGGGAAGGGGGAAGGACAGAGACTCAGAATGGGCGTGGAGGGACCTGAAATCCAAGAACTGGGGCAAAGCACAGGGTGTGATGGGGAGCCTGTTGGGGGATACATTCCAGTGGTTCCCACAGTGGGCAGCCAGAGGCCTGAGTCCCCCACCCTTACCTCAGGTGCCTCAGAGTTGGGGGTAAGTGGGCATAGGAGACGTTGTCATCCTTCCCCTCCATCCCTCTGGTGGACCAGGGGACAAGGGTGCGAAGACAAGAGCGGGCAGCCCTCTTCCTTACCCTCCTGGCCACTCTAAAGTGTGGAGGAGGGGAGCCACCGCCTCTGTTTCAGAGGGAGGCTCAGAGAGGGCAAGACATTTGCCCAGTCGTGCAGCACAGCAGGGACTAAAACCCAGTGCAATGGTCTGCCCAAAGTCGGGGCAGCTGCTGTAGGGCTGTGCTGCCCCCAGTGGGGGGACGGGGTGGGGACCAGTGGGGGAAGTGGAAGAGAGAATCATTGATTCCCCACACGCTGGGTCTTAGTGGTAAAGGCCCAGTGGTGACCCTTCCCCCAGGCTCCTCGCCATCACACTGGGCTACCTGATTTCCTGGCTTATGTGCTGCAGCCTTGGCTGAGCTGGCCAAAGCTGGATTGTTCCATGTGGCCTCCTCCTTTAACCAAGGGTCCCTGATATCCTCCCACTGGACCAGGGAAGGGCTCAGCCTCAAAGAGAACCTCCTTTGGCCGGGGGGCAAGGGACATGGCACCGTTTCTCTTTCTCTCCAAGCCCCCCGTTAACCCCTCAGGGCACTTCCTAGAATCATTATTATTGTTATTTCTAAATCTGTACAAAACTGACAGTGATCAGCTCCGGTGACGAGAGGTAGAAACCCGGCCAGGCAGCCGGAGAAAATGGGGTGGAGTGAATTAGGGCGTAGGGCTAACTGGTGTTGGGACAGGGGTGTCAGATCCTGAGGGCCTCCACCCACAGGTGGGGATGCAGGCATCTCCCCCAGGCACAGGGGTCCCATGATTCCCTTCCCAGCTCCTGCCCAGAACAGTCAGGCTACCCTGAGATCTGAGGCAGGCAGAATTTGGGGTAAGCAGAGTGGGGTGGGGTGGGGAGACAGAATCGTCACTGGCACAACCTGACCCCCTCCTGGGCACCCCTCTGCCCACCACCAACAGACCCCTAGAATTCCACATCCCCCAGTCAGGCAGATCCCCTGGGGCAGGAGGTAACGGAGGGCTGGAACCTGGCACGGGAAGGAATCGGAAGGAATCTATCCTTTGGGGAATTCCCTCCCCACGCTGTTAAAACGAAACAAAAATTTTAACCCGGGGGGTGATCTGGCTTTGGGGTCAGGAAGGGGGTGAGGGGCACCCGGCAGGGACGGACCATCGAGTTAAGGCTGGAAGGTAGGTTGTTGTGTCTCTGGGGGCTGTTGGGCAGGGAGGTCTCCCTGGGAGCAGGAAGCTCAGCCTTCTCCCCCTGACGCATCTGGGACCTCAACCCTTAGACCTCTTGGTTGCGGTCCGGTCCGTGGGCCACCTGCATCTCTCTGCCCTGTGCCAGTGGCGCCGACGGTCAGATGGCCTGGCATCGCGAAGCTGCCAGGATCTGCGACAAGGGGATGGACAAAATGAGAGCCCTGTGAGCGGAGCTGGGGTGGGGCGGGAGAGCGGGGGGCGGATAAGACAAGGAAGAACAGACAGTTGGGCAGACAGACACGGGGAAAGGAGGACACGGGACAAAGACGGACACTCTGGAGGGGACCGGCGGGGGCCCGGCCAAGGCAGCAGCACCTGCTCACCCCGCCCTCCATTTCACACGCTCACCCCGTCCCAAAAGGCTGCGGCACCCGCTCAGGCTGGCCGGGCCTACGCTAGCTAGACTGAAGGTGGTTGTCCCAGGAAGACAAACGCGGGAGAAGGGGAGGCGGAGGAGTTCCGCGGAGGCTCCCTCTCGCCCTCGCCTTGCAGTGGAGGTGCGTGGCTGCGGGGGCGCTCCGGGCCCGGACCCTCAGAGCTCGATTCCCGCCGGCTCCTCGCGCGCCGCGCTGCCCTCTGCCGGGCCTCAGGCTGCAGCCGGCGGCAAGGCAGGGCGCCCGGCCTCACATGATGGCGCAGCGGTTGCGGCGCAGCGCGCCCTGGAAGCGCAGGGCGGCGTGCACGTGTTTGCAGCGGGCGCAGCCGACGCTCTTGAGCAGCTCGCTGAAGAGCAGCAGGATGTGCCAGTTGTACTTGGCTGAGCACTCCACGTAGCCGCACTTCCAGGTCTTGCGCACCAAGTGCGACACGTTCCAGCGTGGGATCACGCGTCCGCGCTGCAGGTCCCGCTTGTTGCCCACGATGATGATGGGCGTCTCCGAGGTGCCAATCACCCTGCGGGGCGAGGCAGGAATCTCAAAACCCGGCCAGTCTTACAAGCACTGGACTCTGTACTACTCTGTGTCCTGTTCCATGTGCAGCCCTGAGCCCTTGGTGTGAGTTACATTCTCTAATCAGCACAACTGATCCAAAATAGGTAGTTGTTCCTATTTTACAGATGAGGAAACTGAGGCTCACTTGTCAACTGGCCCTAGCAATCTTGTTCTTGTGGTCCCAAAATGAGTCAACAGAAGTGAGGACAGGAAAATATGAATGTATGCATGTTTGAGAGTTTGTATGGGAAACAGGGCACATATACTTCCCCTGCATCCTCCCACTCACTGTCCCATTTCCTCGGGGCCAGGATAGCACTGGAGCATCCACAGAGGTGGCACTAGACTGTCATAGCCCCTCACCTCGTCTCCAGGATCTGCTGGCGGATAGTCTTGACGTACTCAAAGCTGTCAAAGCAGCAGATGTCGTAGACCAGGATGTAGGCGTGGACGCTCCGGAGTCCCCTGCAGCAGGCATCTGCCCACTCCTGCAACACCCCCAGCAACACCAGAGTCAGAGCAGCTGTGAGGGTCCCCCACCCCAGCCAAGAGTGCTCTCATGGCCTGCCCCTGCAGCTGAAGCCTCATGCCTGCTCTCCTTGCCCACCAGGCCAAGCCCAGTGGGAATGGAGGTGCCTGGTGCTGAAACCCCCTCACCCCAAGGCAGAATGGTAAGTCATGTTAACTGACTTCCAGGGCCACTGTACTATCGTGTGTGTGTGTGTAGACATTAGGTCTGTCCAGTGACATTTTGTCCTCTCATCCATCAACTGGTACATTTATTAAGTGCCTCTACGAGCCCAGCTTTGAACTAGTTGTAGGACCTGTTGAAACCCTACCTTCAATCCTCAGCTGAAGTCCTCCTTCAATAAATCTTCCCGATTTGCCACCCTGCTGGCAAGCACGGAAACACTCCCTTCATCTCCTGTTCTAACAACCTTTGGCTAAAGCTGTTCCAATTCCAGTTTTCCACATCTACTGTGGGCTTCCAAGAGGGCCAGAGCGAGACTTGTTCATTTTACACACTCCTTTCTATTATTTTTTCTCTCTCTTTTTTAACCCAAGACCTTTGCAATGAACTACAACCCCAGCCCTTTTTTAGTTTTTTAATTTTGAGACAGGATTTCACTAAGTCTCTAAGTTGCCCAGGCTGGGCTTGAACTTGTGGTCCTCCTGGCTCAGCCTTCCAGAGTGGTGGTATTACATGGTGCTACCATGCTTGGCTTCCCTATTCTGTTCTGTATCTAGGATAGCACTCACTGTTAGCTTTTATTAATTGCGCTACCTTGGGCAGTGAGCTCTCTGTGGTGCTGAATCCCACCAGGTCCAAGCTGGGATCAATGCAACTCTTGACCTAACACTGCTCTTAGATTGTTACCTGATGTGCCCCTTTGTGTGTATTCTCCTCCTTTGCCCTCATGGTTGAGAAGTAAAAAACATGCAGAGAAAACATGCATGTAGAACAGACCCCCAGGGCAGCTTCAGTAGAGGGAACATCTTGAATGTTAGTTTGTGGCAACTTCTTAGGGAGGGACTGTAGCTCAAGATGAACAGGCCTACAGAAATGCTGAATGTGCTACAGGGAAAGTTCCTGAAGAGATTAATTAGCTAATTAACCTGCCAGTAGATGTGATTGCAGGGAGTTTCAGACAGCCAGTGTGCTAAAAGAGGGAGGTCCCTGAAGTTAGGTGGGCAGAGGCCTTCAAGGGCAAAGGGAACCACGGACTTCTCCCTCAAGGGCCCACACAAAAGACTAGTAGGGAGGTGTAAGTCAGTGATGGAGCACAGGTCTTGTATGTGTGAGGTTCTGGGTCCCATCCCTAGTGCGTGCACACATACACACACACACACCACACAGAAAGAGAAAGAATAAGACAGAATGAAGGAAGGTGAAGGAATGTCTCCTATCACAGCTGGAGTTTAGTTGTGACAAGGGCTGGCCACAAAGGAAGACTTTCACTGATTCTTACCCTGGAGGAACAAATACAAGGGGACAGATTTTGATGGCAGTCACGAGGAGTGAAGTTCAACTTCAGAATAGCACTTGCAACTCAAATGCTTGGAAGATGCTGCAGTGGATTCCCCAGGGAGATGATGTGGCATCCTTCCTTTGTGCTGAGGTTTTACTTTTTGGTGCTGGGGGAGGGTGCTGAGGACAAATCTAAAACTGTAGGGTACCACGAGCCTGTTTCCTCCCAGGCCTGGGAAGCTGGGATCTGTGGGACAGAGTGGTGTGGGAGCAGGTGGCCTGCCTGTGAATGTGGTTCCTCCCGAGAAGCGGGAGGGAGGCCCCACTCTCTGCAAGCCCCCCCCCCCGCCTCAGCTGGCAGCCTTTGAGGGTGACAGCCCCACCTCTTCCCAACACACCGCCTCCTCAAGGAGACCTCCAGGCTGCCTCCCACTCACTCCTCTCTGAGGGCTTCCAAAAGGGAGCGACAGAAGACTTCTGATTGGCTAGGTTGTCCCTTCGCCCCTTGACTGAGGGGAGGAATCAAGAAAGTTGTTTTCCTTCCAGCTTGCTCTCTGCGGGGTTCTAATTCGTTCCTCAGAACACAGAAAAGGAGGGGTTGACCATACAGCTTAGTGGCAGAACATTTGCCTAGCATGTGCAAGGCTTTGTTTGGGTTCAATATGAGAGAGAGAGAGAGAGAGAGAGAGAGAGAGAGAGGGCAACAGGAGACCTAGCTGTGAAAGGAATAACTGAATCTGAATCTTAGGTCCAGCAACAACTGAATCTTGGGCCCAGCAAGTGAAGTGCCACTCTTGGGCTGGATCTCATCTCACCTGGCATAGGGGAAGAATGCATTATTTTATTTTAAGACAGCATCCATCAAGGTTCTTGAGTGTTTCTTTGTTCATAGTCCCTTATCTGTGCCTCAGAGTAAAATCTTAGATATCCTAGAGTCTAAGATAAGGATCAGTCAAGGATGAAAAGGTCAGGATCAATCAAGGATGAAAAGGTCAGGGGTCAGGGATTTAGCTCAGTGGTTCTGCTGCCTGCCTTGAAAGCACAAGGTCCTGAGTTTGATCCCCGGTACCAAAAAAAAGAAAAGGTCAAAAGTCCAATAGAAAAGTGGGCAAGTGACATGAGAAAAGGAAACACAAAGGCAGCCAGATATATGGGAAAATGCTCAACTTAACTCATAATCTTTAGTATATGTGCTGCCAAAGCACCCACTTCACTCAGAATCATAATGCAAATAAAGACCACACTGAGACTATCAGAATTCATCTCTCAGGTTGTCAGAAATCCAAAAGTTTGATGATATACTCTGATGGTGAGACTTTAGAGAAATGGGCTCTCAGGTACATCCTCTGCAGGAGCACTTGTGCAACATTTGTAGAAGGGAATCTGGAGACATCTTCCAAATTCCAGTTGCATTTACCCTTTGACCCAGCCATGCCCATTTCCAGGAATCAATCCCACAGATATAACTACCTATGTACAAAGTGACTTATGTATTAGGCTATTCATTGTGGCATTGCTCAAAACAGCCCAAGATTGGAAACCACCCACTTGTCCAACAAGGGGGGACCCATGGAACATCTCTTCATTAGAATACAGTGTAGACAGGAAAAAATAATGAGGAAGCCCTCTAGATACAATAATATCCCGATGTAATAATGCTTAAAAGGGTGGGGGGATGTACAGTGGTGTGCTGTGCTGTGATCTGGCTGCTCAAGAGGTTGACACAGGAGGATTTTGAGCTCAAGGCCAGCATGGGCAACATGGTGAGATCCTACAACAAACAAAAAACCAAGGTACAGGGCTCGGTGGTAGAGTGCCCACTTAACATGTAGAAGGCACTGAATTAATCCAACAAAACAAAAACAAGGAACATAACAGTATGGTTTTTATTCTTATGTAAAAAGGGGGTGGAATAAGAATACAATTTCTTATTCGAGTAAAGAAGCCCTGGAAGTATGAATGGAAAGCCAATGAGAAGAGTTACAGAGAGTAACCATGGGGTGGAGGAGCAGGAATGGGATCAAGGTTTCTCTGGGCCACAGTTTGGACTTTTACTGATTGTATCTTACCTATTCCCAAGTTAAAATTACATTAAAAATAAATATACAACTAAATGTGAAAAAAGAAACAAAGCTCAGAGGGCAGGCTTGCAGCCCGATTTGCATGTCTGCTAAGACTGCCATCAAAGTCTCGGTTAGAGAATGAGAAGGACCTGACCCCAGATCTACTTGCCCTGATGGTCTCAGCTGCACTGTTTCTGGGCCAGGTGCCTGGATCAGCCTTTTGTCTTGGTGCTGACCCCAGGCAACCGGAATGGGAGAGACATTGTCTCTGGCAGGCTGGGCCAAAGCCCTGCTGCTCAGGCTTGCTGAGACCGCAGCTCCTGCTAGTGCGAGCCCCAGCCTCCCTAGAGGCCTGAGACTGCTGTGTCTGAAAGGCTTGTCCTCTGCCTTTTGGGTCTCCGCCACTGAGATTCTTTGCAAGCCTCTGCACACTCTGGTCAGAGGCTTCTCTTGTGAGCAAGCATGTCTTAAAGCTCAGCTCCCCACTGTGCCTCAGCCAGAGGTAGAGAGAGAGGAGGGCCTGGTCCCAGCAGGCTGGGGGAAGGTACACCATAAGCAAGGGCACTGGGGTCTTAAATCCAAACCCTATGGGGAGGGTGCTCAGCAGGTGGCTCCGAGGTGGGGAGGGGGCAGGGTACCACCTAGGAGCAGAGGCCCTGGAGAAAAAGACCTAATTTGGGTCTGAGAACGCATTCTCAGGTCCCAACCTATTCTGCAATCTCTTCTACAGCTGATGACCAAGGAGTGGCTAGGGCTGTACTAGGAACAGCCGAGGCTTCCCCACTGCCCCTGGTCTGCCTAAACCTATGTAACTGAGACATCACATCCTGTGACCCTGCCACCCCACCCAAGTGGGTTAGATAGATGCCTCCTGAAGAGCTGCTTTATCTTGCTCATCTCCTCCAATCACAGCACTTCTAACACTATCTAATCATCCCCTATTAGTCTTTCCTCACTAGACCATGAGTTCCTTGAAAGCAAATTCTTTATCTGTTTTGCTGACCATTCTGTGTTGGTGGCCAGTGCAGGGCCTGGCACACATTAAGCAGTCATCAAATATTTGTTGAATGAGCTAGCACACAAAAGAACAGCTTCCTGGGACAGCTGTAAGCAGGGAGGCTCAATGTGCAGCATGGAGCTCTCAAACCCAGCTGTGGGGCCCGGCAATAGGTCCAGAGCTGAAGCCGCTGGAGTCCAGCCTCCTCCACTCTACTACCCTACTGTCCCATGACCCCCTGACTCCCAGAGCCACCTACCTGCAGCGTGTTGACAGGGAAGGCGCTGATGGGTGGGAAGTCCAGGATCTGGAGGTCGTGCACATGGCCGTTCATGACCACAGCAGGCAGGTAGAGGCGGCGGGCGGTGGTGGGCACGCAGACGTCGCTGAACTCGTTGTACAAGAACTGGCGCACGATGGCACTCTTGCCCACGCCTCGTGCCCCCAGCACAGCCACCCGGTAGGTGGAGACCATGCCTCCCGCCCCACTCCGCCACCGCGTCCTTGCCTGGGGCTCCCCCGGGCTGCATATTCCAGGGGCTGGGGGCTCAGCCACCGTCAGGACCAATCATTGCTGCCTCTGCTTGCCCTGGGACCTCTGCGGCCTCCACCTGGACTGGGGAATAAGAGGTGGGCTTAGTGCACTGGCTTATCCCTGGACAGGTCTTGCACTTTTCTGCCTCTGGGATTTGCTGAAGCTGTCATTCACTGCCATTTGGAATGCCTTCCCTTTCCCAGAACCCTTGACTACACCTATCCAAAACCTCCCCGTCTGTCCTTCCTTCTCCAACTTGCCTGGACATTCCAACTAACATTTTGATCTCACTCTTCACCCAGTCTGACTCTCCAACCAAGGCAGGCTGCACAGTAGTGGAAAGAGCACCAGACTTGGGTTCAAATCTCAGCTTTTCCACTGAGCCTGGACAAAACAGCAACTCCTCTGAGTCTCAGTCTCATCCTGAAGGGCTGAGATGAGGTAAGTGCACCCCGGTGCGGGAACTCTTAGCATTTTGTGGGCAGAGGATTCTTTCTTGTGCAGGACTGTCCCCACATTACAGGGCATTGTACTTCTTTCATGGCAGCTCCAGGAACTAACTGCCAGGAATGGTCTCAGGATGACAAAAATGCTCCCATTTCCCACTGGAGAATCACTATACTGTATACCCACGTTGACACTGGAGAGCAGCACCACAGAGCACTTACTGTTCTCACATCTCAGTTATTTATCCTTCGTCAATACAACGTCCCTAATGGAGATGCTATTACTATTCCAATGTTAGAGCAGACTCACTGTGCCCAAAGTCACACACACAGTTAGGAATGGCAGCTACTCCTTTTTAGAATGTTGCAGCACTTCCATTTTCAAGTTTAGTGGTTCTAGATGGTGACTCCTAAAGGCTGAGGGGACCCCTTGGAGCTCAGAGGAACTCGAATACAGCCAGTGCCTAGGAAAGAGCTGCTAAGGAATAGCCTTGACAGGAATTCATTAGCTCCTTGCTTGCTCAGTTTCCATGACTTCTGGATCTTGGTTATAAACCCCAGCTTTGAAGTTTCCTATCAGATGGCCACTGGGCAAATCACTTGCCTAGTCAGAGCTGTGCTCTGGACATAAGTAGGGTCAACAGTCCTTCTTTCTGAGATAATCCCAGTAAATTTTTTAGTCCAAAGTTGTAAACCTTTCGCTTTCTGTTGGGGATGTGACCCTAATGATTGCTAGGTAGGTCTGGGACAGATAGGTTTGCTGGGTTTTGGTTTTTTCTTTTTGGTACCGGGGATCAAACTTGGGTCCTTGCACTTGCACAGCAGGCAGTGAAACCACTGAGCTAAATCCCCGCCATGGTTTGCTGGGTTTTGATGGGGTCATGCATGTGTGTTTCCTTTTCCTGTGGATGCGTATTCTTTCCATATCTGGGCAATTCCCAGCTGAATGTCCTGCAGGCTGTCCTGGTTCAAAGGACTCACACTAGGGGTGGGTAGGTATGTATGCATTATAGTAAATAAAGGGCAGGATTTGGAGTGAGAACCACCAGTGATTGATTCCCAGCTCTGCCATTCACCTAAAGTGTGTGTGACCTCAGGTCACTGCAAGAAACTTCACAGGGTGTTGGTAGGCTGAGCATGTGAAGCACAGTACCTGGCAGAGAGTAAGTAACATTAAACAGTGGCTACTGGTACATGCAGGGGCCCTTTGCTCATTTAAGGTTTTCCATAGTCACACTGCTAGGGACCTCCTAGCAATCCTGCGGGGGGGGGGGTGTCACTAGCCACTGTTGCATAGGCTCTCATACACGTACTGTGTGTGAGAGAGATTCTTCACATTTTATTGAAGGGAAACAAAAACAGAACCCCATAGACTTAGGGAAGTGAAGACCTCATAAACAGTTGAATTGTCAACTAAGTCTAGGACCCCGATCTCCTCTGTGCCCTGTGGATTCCTTTCCCAACAGGTGCCTGTACACTTGTGTGGGGAAGTATCAATTCCTCATCCCTGTATGTCCCTCCAGGCCCCTAGGTCCCCCCCTCCACCCGCATCCCTGGACACCCAACAGGGAGGCAGAGAGACAGAGCTGGGTTAATTATATAACAGCACAAGCAGGTGGGGAGGGGGCAGTCTTAAGGGAGGAAGAAAGGGCAGGGAACACCAGTCTCCCGGGCCTCTTCCTGGGTGTGGTAATTAGAGGTTTCTAGTATGCACCCTACCTGCAGGTTCTCTGGGACACCACATTCCCCACCCAGAAACCCGCCCTTTGTGGGGAGTAGCACAGATGAAACCTGGGAACAGCCCAAGGAGCCAGGGTGCAAGAGAGGCCCCTTAGCAGGGGCCAGGAACTCACCAGGCCTAACAGTGGCTCCGTCCCCAGCTCCGAGGTGACCAATGCCCCCTCTTTCCTCCGGGGTAAAGTCCTACGTCTAAGCATTTACTAAGCCCACATGCCAGGTTGGGTGGGGATGGAGGGTACTGCCCTAGGAAGCAGGGCCCAGGCCCCGGAGCTCCCTCCCCAAGGCCTGCACTCTGCAGTGAGTCTGCAGACAGTGTCCAGCAAGGGACCGGGGCCACGCACTGGGGCCAGAGCCGGGTTCCTGACCCCTTCTCTCCTGGTCACCTGGGTTCCTGCCCCCAGAGCGAAGAGGGCTGGGGCTTTTGTGGATCGCGAGGACCGGGTCACAAGTCTGGCCGGCTGTTTGTCCCCATCACGTTCGCCCGAGGGTGTCGGGGGTGGGGGGTGCATCGGAGGACGCTGGGCTCCCCATGACCTGATTGGTGGGAGTTTGGGGGGGAGGCAGGAACCCAGCTCGCTCTCCGCCTCCAGCGCCTCGCAGCATCCCCGGCCAGGCAGCGGCGCTCACGTGGCCGCCCG